CCCTTGTCTACGGCAGGTCTATTTGTCGAACACCGATCAGGTCTCCCTCATTTATGGAGACTCTAGCAAATAAGTTGTATGTTTCCAGTACCAACGGACGGCAGCGATCCGCTTAAATTTCGTGCTAAAATGAGCCCCACGGTATTCTAAAATGGATTCAGAAATAAACGTCAGCGCGATCTGGTAAATGACCTCTTTCTCTACTCATATGCCTACGTCCGCTATACTTGTATTTGAATACACCTGGCGTATTTACCAAAGTTGCTAACCAAAGAGCAACCGCGATTTTCCGCTGCATTCAGATTTTTTTACGTGTATCACGTAAACAACAAACCGTGCCGTCTGTACTAGATACTGGCTATGGTACTTTTTGCTACGCCACCAACACCGAACCTTAAAATTCGCACGCTTCGCAGTATTCACGCATCTGTTAGGGAAGTCATCGGGGCTGAGAAGTAACAGTCAATGTATATAGTTAATGAGTCCTTCAGTTCTTTTTGTTGAAAAGAAAAAGCATCATCAGCGATTAGTGCGGCAGCGAAGCAATGTCGGGAACGTGGCTATTCGCTGAGCGGACACTCAGTCATATTAAGGTCTATTCGGTTTGTAGCTTTTGCTGGCAGTACCAAGGAGCCATTTATAGCTTTTTTGTTCAACGACAGCCGAAACTACTACTTGTTGTGCCGTAGAGGGCACTTCTTCGCCTGCAGATAAATAGATAGACTTACGTATATGAAGCAATTTTCTAGCTAAGCACATCCATATAGGCATTGCACATTGTTTGAACAAAAATTCTCTCCTCTATTGTATATATGTGGGTAATATTATTCATATCGAGTCCGAAGCAAACATTTAAGCGATTTGTGTTCGTTTTCGATTGATTCAGATCAAAAATACCTATCTATATATTATCTAGGTGGCACGTTGCACGTATCTGGAACTCGTGCCTCACCATTACATTTCGACGCGATGGTCCATTGTTGTTTTTTGTTAAATATAAATTATAAAGACCACCAATTGTTATAATTTTTGCTTTTCCTGTCGCTGTTGTACCGCCAAAGCAAACGGGAACGTTTGCTAATTGTTTCGCGCGTCAAGTTTAAATAGGAGCGCAGCTGATTCGTCTTCTACGCTCGTCCCAAGCGGGTGCTCATTAGAATTCTTTTCCCATGGACTTGATTGACAGCCTTTGACTTTTTGGAAGAAATTATAAGCTGCTTTTGTGAATATGTTTATTATTATTGTTTACAAGGAATCGGGTTTGGTGTAAAGTGAATCGTGCGATTGTTAATGAACGTTGGGTATTTACCGAGTGACGAGAAATGGATCTAGACGATTCACTCGGCTTTGTTTAGCGGCGCGTAAAGAAGTACTGCGAAATTAAGAAAAAATCTTCCGCTTGACTGAAGTAAATATGCCCTGTGTGACTTTGCTATAGTTGATATAAATAATGTGCCCGTTTGAAGTTGTATTCGAAACTATAAAAAAAAAGCTGGACATTTTTTTAAGTATCATGGAATCATTATTGCCACTCTGTAGGCCATCCGGGTTATCATACGAGCACTGGACAACTAAATAGGACAATAATACTTATGAAACGGAGCCAGCATGTCCATATGCATGCCTAGGAAACAACGCGGTTCAAAACACAGATAAACCCTTTGTGCTAATAATGGCTCATTTAATGCTCGACTGATCTTGTTCGTATATGTTTAGCATGGTACAGGTTGAGTATAACAGTAGTTTGTTGCTGTTTTTGATGGCATACGACGAGAAATGTGACACATTACGGGTAAAAAAAAGAGTCCTTTTTTAAGGATTCGTTCATTTTTGAACAGTTCTAATTAACACTATATGCTATAATCTCCTGTCTTCTATTTCCATTTACCATGTCTCTGAATAGCGCTTAAAGTAACCACGAATATTTGTCAAAAATAAAATGAAAACTTGTATATTTGAATTTATTTCATCAGTCAGTTATACTTCTGATTGGTTGTGGCTAAGAGATTTGTCATAAATACGACAGCAGATATAACCGACAAATACAACATGGGCTGTCTTTCTCTGCTTCAATCAGTTGTTTGCGAATTCAACTTAAAAGTTACCATTATCCTTATTACACGGAGGCCGTATGTTGAGGTTCTTGAAGTTTTCGGTTATGCTCGTACAACATTAACGTCTTCTATATCGGCACCGAAGCCAGCAGGAGCAGCGATTTCTGATAGGTTTTCGCAATTCGGCAATCATATTCGCCCGCCTTATTCCGCTCGAAATGTTTGGTCATGTTAGTTAAGAACGATAGCAGTAACACCGTGTTATTCTGATAAGCCGCGCTTACGATGGAGTGATGTGCAGCGTCAGTACTTTTACTCGTCGCACTTTCATATGTAGTTTTCGTGAAGATGCTCTGAAACAGCGGACATATCTATGGATCCGCTATCGTGCACAGGGTTGTGCTCGGCCGAACACTGCCGCCGCCGCCGTCGTCGTCGTCGTCGTCGTCGTCGTCGTCGCTTATCGACGGTTACAATCTCAGCTTTTTCAGACTGAGGTCTCAGTTGAGCCAACTCTGCTGGCGCTTTTAAGCATCTGTCAATATAACATAACTACTAGCATCATTACCAACGACTACTAATTGCAAAATGGTTATTGTTGTTGTTTTTGTCGTCGTCGTCGTCAAGTCGACGTTTGCGCCGCAATCGCGCGGCATGCGCCGGCCGCCAACACGCAAGATAATTGAAAATATGTTTCGTTCGCTAATGCTCATGTAGACGTAGACGTTGCTGCTGCTGCTATCGGATTTGGGCGTTTCGGTTCTTTTTTGCAGTTGGGTCCATGCATATATCCGCGCGTACAATTCGCGGTGCTAAATTGTTTGCATCCAGTTGCTCGCAGAACTGCAACACAGCGGATGTTCAGCACGGTACCTCTGCAGTAACAGCACAGACTGGTGAAGCTGATAATATATAGCAGTAACGAACCCATTGCTAAATTAAGCCCGTTTGTGTGCAATTGTTTGAAGACAGGAAATCTAGCCGCTGCCGTAGACGACGGACACTTCGCGAAGCGCTATGTGCTTCACTTAGTTCTACTGCTATGCTAAAATGAAGACTTTTATTACTTTACTTATATACTGCTGTTTGCTAGCTTTCTGGCCGTTCACTGACTGGCTGAGTATCAGTAGGAGAAGCAATAACGGCAGCACTGTTGCTGCCAGGCTAATGACGGTTGGGCTTGTTGGTTAGCCGGTGTCGTTGGGCCGCGGTGGGGCCCCAGCGGTTGTGCGGCAACAACATCGCCATCGACAACAACGCCAGCGGCAGGCCGCGTTACGCTATGTCGTGCCGCGTGCCGTAATGATGGCCAACCGCCTAGTAGAAAATCATTTCGCAGTAGTTCTGCCGTTGCTAATACTGCTGATATGACTGTTAACAGCGGCGACGGTGAATAGTAACGCTGAGAAATGCCGGACAGATAGCAGATAGCTAAAGACGCTAGGGAAAGACCAAGCTATGGCAGGCGTAGAATTCACTGCTGCCGCGGCGGCTGTAACTGAGGGCGGATGCTAAAACGAGGAAGCAACGAGCCTACGACGAAAAACCCCTGCCGCCGAACATCTCCGAACATTTTGTGGTAAAGACAATGTAGGAAATAATTGGCATTTGCGTAGGTCTCATCGAACAACGACACCAGGCAGGGAAAAAGATAATTACTAGCAGTTAGAGGCTGCAGGAAGGACAAGCTAGGCAATGCCACTTGTCATTACTGCTACTGCTGCTTATCTAGCGGATCTTTCATTTATTATATATGTAGTTATATTGGGACCACCCGAGCTCTTGTTCTATGGAACGGGACGGCCATGAGACATACGGCCAACATAGATAAATAATATAGTACATATGTAAGGAAGGGGGCCGCATAGCCCCCACTACTGAGCCATTCAGTGGAGATACTGCAGTCGGCTGTGTTCCTTTTATTTGGAATTTATGTTCATGACGATCATTACACCCATGAGCATCATTAGGTAATGCATTGTTCTATAATAGTCGCTATTATTTTCTGTTAGAACAGTGTGTGCTCGTATCTTGCATTTACCTGCGCCCCAGTCAGCTGGGTGAGCGACTGAAATTAGGCAACGCCGATGATGGTGTCGACACCGACGCCGCTGGGTTTACGCATATAATTAGTACTGACTTTTCAACGCCAGCGCTCAGCCTGTAGAGTAGACTGAACTGAGCTAGTTTCAGTAATATCATTTCGTCAAAATGGCTCATCGAACTATTCTCTGTTGAGTATAGCACTCTCGTTTTTGTTGCAGTGGTAAATAATCGCGGGCGCAAGACAATAAGGTTCCATAACGAGGTTCATTAGGCAGGGTGAGAGAAACGATCTAACTGGCCCTCTTCCGGGTGTCGTCGCTGCGCTTTTACATATGTTCACATAATTAAGTATCTCTCTAAAAACTGTTTCGTCTATTCGTAACGTCGAAACAGTGGGCTGAGACAGAATAGGACCAGCTACATCTCTCTTTTCGGCCGAGTGGTTTAGCAGACGCAGTCGCTACCACTGATTGAAAGGTAGCATAGATATTTTCATATCAGTATCTACACTACACCAGTTCCGTGTTGTGTCTGATAGGGGCCATCTGGTCAGAGAGCGCGAAACGTGTATAATGGAAACTTACGCCATAACTTCTGTCGGTTAGTGCTTCAGGTGATGGACTATTTTTCAGCTCAGCTCTTATTGGCAACACCTAGTAGCCTGAACTAGTAAAACTGGAGTGCACTATCTTAATCTGCCCGTAAAGATTTTAAAAAGTGTTGAATATTTGAATCGTTACGACCGTTTCATGCTGTGAAAATGGAAAAGCTGACTTTTATTATTGTTAAATGTGATCTCCAGTTGCATGCATGCGTGAGATTGCCGGACCGAAACATTTTACTTTGTTTAAGAAACAGGCCAACCTATATAGATGTGTATAGTAGACACTACATGCAACTATGTAATTTTGCGTTGCCCTGCCGTCCATGGTGCTCAAAAATGGTTGCAACACAGTTGACGTCGCCTGTTTAGAAGCTGCGTCCAAACGAACACAGATTTGGGAATATATTATCGCCTTCTCGTCGCTGAAGAATCTAAGACGGTCTGCTGCTCGATGCTTGAAAAAATCCAGCGGTATCTGAGACCAGTTAGATGTTGTTTTGACTGCCCTCAGAGAGCCACCGTATACTCATGTCATAAAGTTTATGTTCGAAGTATCCATGAACCATCTGAGGCATTGTATACATTGCCAAATCTAGCCACCAAGACAAAGGCATCGAAATACAGATCGTATTAAAGTTTAATTTATGCACTTATCGCAATTAATTAACCACAACGGGTTTCCCGTAATGTTGTTGCTGTTTTGGAGCAGCAACAGCAATTGTACTCGGTCGCAATGTGGAAGGCCGTCGATTTTGAGTAGCGAGGCCTTTTCGTCATTTAGTGGGGGTTTGTTTAGCGTGGAGACGTTGCACTTCGCCTAAGTGTCACCCAGATTCCGAAAACAAACTTACTGTCCTCGCCGTGATAAATTCGCTGGTTTTGTTCAAAAAAAAATAAAAAGCGGCGATTCTTTACCAGCAGTTGACGACGACAAACAACGCAATGAAAAATGTTAAAATCTATCCTGAACGCTGTCTATGTACGTAAAAATCGATATATTCATTGTTGTGCTCAGCAGTCATAAAGGAACAAACAAAATAATAATTCAAAGTAAAAATCCAAGCAAGTTGCTATAATTCGGAAATGCGACCACATTGAGGTGCGCACTGATAGCAGAACGCATTTTCTGTAAGCGGCTTCTATTTTTGACTACCTATGTCTTAATACTATCAAGTAATATATATCAACCTGTTGACCACTACTCCATTACGAAAACAGGGTTCCAGTAAATACCAGTACCGAACGTCTGTCTACACAGATTATGTTCGTTCATATAGCGACAGTAGGACTTTGATGTTTTTAGCATATAGATCCAGCCATATTGTAGTAACAGTTACTATACTCACGCTACGTAATCAACAATGATGGTGGAAAAGCGGGTCGCTTGCGCCCTGATAGAAACTCTCTGACCTAGATAAATTCTAATGATGGAAAAGCTCCATAGATTATAAACAGACAGACAAAACCAAGCGATACGTTCATATTTGCCGCCGATCAAGCATAAGTACAAACGGGCGTGCACATTTGGCGGAAATAAAAACACCAATCAGCCATTCCAGCCGGGTCAGAGTAATACAATCGGACAGACACGACATGGTGCGCTAGATCGGGAAAGAAGTAAGAAAAAAATATGATGTGCTAGTTGGAGGCAAAGCAGAAAGCGGTCGCGGGTATTGCTTTTTACTTATGATGTATTACGCAGTTTATATGTTTTTTTTTTTTTCTGTAGGCAGACATGAAGATACCCTATCATGTTTGCGATCGGGATAGAGTTCATCTATGGCGTTGACAACACTATTCGCACCAGACCTCAGCCCTATGTACCATTCCGCAGCTGGCGGTAGCCTTTGTTTATCTGTTGACGTCCATTTGTCAGCGGGCTTAGCTCCACCTGGTGTCAAAACTGCGTGACTGCAGCTTATAGTCATGCATGCAGCCCTATCTGTGATCTCTAACATACATATCCACATGGCAAAGACGTGGAAAAACACGGGTAAGCTGACCGTTCGATGCAAACACAATGGCGGCGGACGGCTTCTATGGTGTCGTCAGAATTTCTGTTTTTTTTTTTTAAATTTAGTTTGTACCATTTTGCTAATCAGCCGTAGAGTCGTTCATAAGTTCTCCTCGGCTTTATTGCCTTTGTTGTTCACTTTTGCAGGAGGGCGACTATCCGGTAGTGACAGCCCCGCTGGTGGCAAAGGTGCGATAAGATCTCAGCAACACAATGCTCGGAGTCCAGCTACTCAGCACTAACTCGAACGGTTAGTAGTACTATTATATAATATATCGTATCTTAGTGACAGGTCCGGGGAATTTGTATCTGGCATCAGATGTGCCCAGTTGGGCCCGCCCTCTACGCATAGGCCAGCAGACGGGTACAGTGACAGCAAGAACCTTATCGTTCAAAAATACTGATGTTTTTTATAAAAGTAAATCGTTTTCTAACGTCAACAGGTTGCTTTGCCTTTTTACCGCAGTTTACTTGCTTTGAGTACGCCTATGGCAAACGACTGTGCAGTCTTGCATATATGAAAAGCATCTTCCGTAAAATATAATTTATCATAGGATTGGCGTTGCGGCAGGCCAATCGTGGGATTTCCGACACTGACGTCCAGGGTTAGTTTTTCAGACCTGCGCTACCATCTGCTTTTCAATACTTCGAATATATCGAAAATATTTTCGAAAATGTACGGGTTAAGACGATTTAATAAACCCAATTTAAGTATTTCACAAACAAACTTTGCTAGCAGAAATCAGGATAACATCAAAGGAGCTCCCTTTGTTTAGATCAAAAAAAGGCCTGCTTAAGTATATCTCTGCTTTTATTTTGAATGAATTTATTTGATGGCACTTTCCAAGAAGTATATTCTCAGCGATATTCTCATGTTATGAGAAGAGGTTTTTCCACTGCCTCATCTTTCATTAACGCTTCCATTACGATCGTATAGTAAAACAATGGGCATCCATGCCTGACAACTACTTACGATTAATAACCAGTGGCCAACACTTTTATGAAGTAATGACAACGGCCTTTTAATGTCGCGAGTCGCTTCTGCTGGCCCTCCTCTCGCTCGAATTGCCATTTTGGACGAGAATTGGACGCTACTTGCCGAGTTTATAGTTGGCGGGGATCGGGCTGCGGCGGTGGTGGTCTACGTTGACGTAGTCAATAAACTAATTTCTCCGTCCACCTTCCTGGCTATTAGTCTTCAATGCAAAACTCCGTCTGCTGCGTCATGAACCCAGCGACCGTCGTCACGGACAGCCTTTTTAAAAATCTCATTGGCTGCTGTTTCTGCAGCCGCTGGTGATACCCACGCAGAACAGACACACCCCAACGGAGCTCTGACGGACACAAATTCAAAAGCGGATCTCGTCGATGCTCAGTTTATCGGTAATAGTCAGATCTATCCAGTCGCGTTTCGGAATTAAGATTTGCAGATTTTCCTCGCTGTCCATGCTGCGCTAACCCGGTTTGTGGGCGCCGCAGCCGCCGCAGCCGCCAGCCGGCAGATACTTTACCGCCGGAGTCGAACAGCTGATCAGAACCAACACGAGCGGCCACAACAACAGCTAGCTCGTGCTCAGCACGTGGTAACTGTGGAGAAGAATATTCAAACCGGACCTGTTTGTGTATGTATGGGCGTCGTGTATGAGTGAACGTGTGAGTGTGAGAGAGTGTGTGTGTGTGTGTGTGTGTGTGTGTGTGTGTGTGTGTGTGTGAGTGTGTGGTGTGTGTGTGTCTCTGTGTGTGCGTCTGTGTCTGTGTGTGTGTGTGTGGGTGTGTGTGCCTGTCTGCGTACCACCTTCAATGCATCAGCGCTTGGAGAGAGGGTAGAGCTGTTGCGGGAAAGGACGTTTAGTGCTTGAGGGTTCTTTAGTCGTAACGTGAAAGGTTGTCTGTTGGGTAGCGGGAGGCCACTGCTATATATATATATATATATATATATATATATATATATATAAAATAGTGGCCTCCCGCATAGCGTATCTGGGTTGGGTCGCCATAGGCGACCGTCAATTAGTTTGAGTGGTTGAACCGATACTCGTGGAAGTTAACGAAAAAGTAGTAGTATGTTGAGAACAAGAGAGACATTTTAAGTAGGAGATGTACCTCGATGGAAGCATCATAAGATGCAGGCCGTTCGAAAAGGTAATCGATAGTGTTAACAAAGATGCAGCTTTACAGTATCCGAAGAAGATAAAGTATAGTACCTGAAAATACTACTTTCAAGGTTTAAAAGAAAGCATCGGACCGCATTTGAAATTTGTTGTCAAGAGCTACCTCTATCGTCGCCGACTGAAGCGATATTACATATAATAAAATACCGTTTTTACCCATTTGAAACTTAGTATATTTGTAGTGGCTTCAGCTTCTCAACTTGGTATAGTAAGACGGAACAGCTTTAAGGGAAATGAGCCATGTATCGAAGGCATAGATTATTACATATTGATATAAGTTGTTGCTAATCGAACTGCCTTAAGCTATCGCTAGTAATTAACACTAGGAAATATCAAAGTATAAGAAAAACAATAACAATGTGTATTACAGCACTCGAGTCGTCTGCTGTCGGTGGTGCGCTGGTGCTGGTTGGGGGAAGCGCCAATTCGGGGCGCCTCCCTGAGCTGGCCACCGAAGAAGACGATGACTCAATGGACTCCGAACGTGCCCTTGAACTTATCAGGTAAAATCCATGCTACCGTAAAAACCGTACCGGCTTCATACACACACAGGATGACATGACGGTTTTTAACAGTTAGTTTCAAAAGTACGACCCGCTATATACGTTATTCAAACTACTGTAAACGGAAGTTTCCTGTTAACTTTTAGATGTGCAATGGAGAGTGACTCTGACGTCGACTCCGAGGATCTCGAGTGGCCTCGCAGCCCGCGACCAGACACAGACGCATCAAGCCATCCCGACAACACAGCACAAGTTGAAGGTTGTTTTCTATAGATAAAGTTGACACTTGAACAACTTTGGTTTACGCAATTTTACTGGAATTTTAGAATAAATCGATTTACTTGCTAGTTTACTTGCCATCAGTTTTTAAGACATTCTTTCACCAAGCAAATTTGGTGTTAAAGAGCGCGTCCAGCCAGTCATTTTTCACTGTCAGATGCATGTTTACCAGTTTGCTTTGCCAATGATCGGAACAAAATATAAACCATTGAAGCGAGTTCAGGGGAATATTGAGAATAGAAAAGACCATATCGTTTCCCGAGCGGTTTTTCTAAGAGCGGTTTACCGTATGCGGTCTGGCATTGTCGTAAAGGAAGATGACTTTACCTCTCTTTAGCAGGCCTTTTCTGTTCGGTGGTGTGGTTCAGTCGATGCAACTGGACTATGCACAACTTTCTATTGCCCATTTTGTTCTTCTCAGGTATAGACGACCCCTTTAATCGTACCAAGTACATATTATCGTTTTCTTGAGATGGTTATATGGATTAATTTTGGTTTTAGGCGTATCTCCCAGAGCTACCCATTCTTCTCTATGTTTTATGTTGCCGTGGAAGCATTGCTTCTCACCACTAGTGACAATTCTGTGCAGAAACCTATTATTGTAGTCGCACGTCTCTAGTGAAGTGTCGAAGGATAATAAGAAACGGTATCTTTTGTGAAGTTTATCTATGCTCATAGGGTGCCGCAGCTTCTAATTTCTGAGTGGATTTCATATATTTAAGGTTGCTGTCGATTTTATTGCGAAAATGGTTCTCCTCAGCCTCAGATGGTTGACCGGGGTGGGGTGCATCTTTCGGATTCAAGATGCTATTGTCTAACTTTGCAAACCAGTTTTTGAGGAATCACAATTTTAATAACCAAGTGTAAACGTCCCAATTTAGATGTAGTGCTCTCTACGCGGACACAAGCATCTGATCATTTATTTTACCTGTGTCCTAAGAGATACCAACTAAGGCCTCTATGTTTACAGAAAAACCATCGGCCGATGAGGAGTACGAAACCGAATTAAAGCTCCGAGAGGAAACCCATGTTAAAACAGAAGCCAAGGTAATCAATTGTTCTGACGATTGCTTGATTCGTTCAAGATGCATTGTGGTTCACAACATTGTCCATTAACAATCATACGAAAAGAGAGGAGGATCAAGTTTGCCTTTACTTTTAGACATTTACGCCGGCTGGAATCTATTGGAAAATAGGCAGATATTAATCACTGCTACATGTTTGTGTTGTACATATTTAACAGGAATGTGAGCCAGAGGACAGGCTAGATGTTCTCGAGGCTCAGGTCCAAGCCGAAGCCCATCGAGAGAGACTCTCTGTCGTCGATACAGCTCCGAATATAGCCGAATTTCAGCGAATAGTTGCCGAAAATGGGGTGTCCGCTGCTGCGGCCGCAGCAGCTGCTGAGAATCGTATGTGTTGATAATAAAATAGTATCATTCTATTCAATTCTACGCACCGGGACCTTCAACTCGTGGTCTGTTGATTATTATTTGTTGTGTGATATTGGCTTGTCGCAAAAGCATTGATTGTCTTCAAGCCAAAATTGACAGACGTATATAATTGAAGCAGTGCCTTTCCTATCGATGACCCTCCGTTACGCTTCTGGCAATACCATCACTGTGGAACTTGTTTGATTTCTGGGCAAAGATTGTAACAAGTGATTGTTGCAGCCTTCTATTGAAGCTAGATTAACGCCACTAACGGAGTCCTGCAGAGACCGAAACTAGATTTGGGCTATAAAAAAGTATGCATTTAAATTTCGTTTAAATCTAACATCGTTATAGAGAAAGATGGCATCGTTTTTGTTTTTTTATCTTTGGTCCATACTTTGATGGCTTGTTTTTGACAGTGAAGGTCTAAGACCGTTGTTGCCAGGCGATAACAGTTCATAGTGCACGATTTTTTCTATTTCTACCAAACACATAAGACGACGTTCGTTAACGCCAGTCTAAGCTTCACCACAGATTGCTAATACATATTTTCTGATTTTTTTTTTCCAATTTTCACATTACTGTCACATATCACCCATTTTTCATCATCCATGATCAGCTGTTTTGATTTCATTGCGTTCCTGTTAGATCTTTCACATGAAAATATGATCAAGTACATGCTTTTTTTTTTATCGATTCGTGCAGCACTCAAACATTAAGCTTTTTTTGCAGCCAGTTCCCTTCAAATAATATGCTGGGTCTTTGGTTCCCTGGCGACACTATGACTACGCACGTGTTGGTCCTCCTCAACTACTTTAATTACGAGGAACATTTTTTGCATTAAAATATCCAAAAGGAAAGCAACAGCATTTTCTCTCATTTTTAATAACGCGTCCAGGCCATAAATAGACCTATGTATTTGTGCCTTTATTATAACAAGATTCTCAAATACAGAGAGCTTTGCAGAAATTTTCAATACGCTCTACACTATGTCTGATTATAGGCATTTGAATATAAAGCGATCTAACTAGAAAAATGGTCAGCTCTTGTTCGACAACTTAATATATTATCGAACCGATACTGCTAAATAGTTTAAAATGAATAATTATACGAATCAGCATTGCTATCTGTAGATATTTTCGTATAATTCTACATTTGCGTATGGTTCGATCGGAAAGTTTAATAGGAAATAATAACTAGCAACCTTCGTAAATTTACCTTACAAATATCACTATCTAATTAAAAATGGCGTTGGCTTACAGTGGCCGGCGGGCTGAACCCGCTGGATCTGCATCGACTCGCTATGCTCGGACGTTTACCGAACCAATTTTTATTGGAGACGGCCAACATGGCGGCAAAAATTCAAGCGGCGCATGATCAAGCAGTCCAGCATTCCCTAGTGCACGCGCTCCATCATAATCCGCTCGTAAGTTCAGGCATTTAGTAGCAGTAAAAAAAAACACTTCAGAACTACTACCTAATATTTGTTATCGCTATTTTGATAGAAGAAACTGGCAGAATGGAATTGAATAATTTTCGTCATCCCTGTCTTGATGTAGCGATTCTGATTCATTGGTGTTACAGATAATCTACTGTAAATCATAACTGTACTATATGCCCCTGGTTGCTCTGCTCTACCTGTTCCATGGCCACTGGTCAGGTGTTCCTTTCCGCTTTCGTTGAGACGCTCGAGCAATTTTATCGCTTTACCACGGTTGTTTCATTTAGAAATATTTTCTTATTGAAAAATTTCATACGTAGTGTACATAACCTATAGTTCGATTGTAGGTTTATAGTTATTTAGTAGCAACCATCTCTTGTCAAGATGGCTTCCTTATCCTATTGCAGTTTTTGGGGTTATAATAGTTTTCAACTTGACCTATGCATCACCTTGCTGTAGCTACCCTATAATCATTTTCCCGTAATTAATTAAGTAGAGCCTATCCGATGTTTCCTTTCCAATTATTCGACAGCACAAATCAATTTAATCAACGAATCGGCTTAAATAACAGGTGCAGACCTATCGTTGATCCTGTAATCTTTCCCCACTCTTTCGTTGAAACGCCCTTGTGATCCAGATACTTTACTCTTTTCCCAATCTATTAATCCAATTTTACCTCAACGTATTTTTCAATGATTTCGGTTATAGTAGCTTTATCAGGTCTAAGCTATACTGTATTACAGTTACCTTGCGGCAATGATGCCGTTCTCCTATTAGAATACCTCCATGGCCTGTATCGTAGCACTCCAAAGATATTACTGACCTCAATTTCGAAATAGTAAATAAAAACCCAAATAATCTTCACTTCACGTAAAGCTTTAAATAAGCCAAACTGTGGCTTCCAAGCTAGGGCAAATCGAGCTGCGAATCTTCCTCTTATCCTTTAATATTATTGTGTCAAACAAGTATCGAAAAAATGCCCAGCTGTTAGCGGATTTCGGCTTGACTCGTGGCTGGGCTTATGGCGTCACATTCGCCTGCCTGCTAACTATTCACGGGCCAACTTAAGAGCCATCAAAAATGAATAACTTTCGACAGTGCTTCATTTTTTGGAAAATAAAGTACCAAAAAACGTGCCACCCTTTGTTTAAAATGAACGTAGAAGAAAACTGACAACAATAAAGAAAGTTAAAAACTAAAGCAAAGTTGACATTAAACTTAGAAGGTTAGAAGATCCGGTAGCATATGTGGGCAATCAGACGATTAGGGCACGTATAGTTTGTCGGTATTTTTTTTACGGAAACGCAAAAAAGTAACACGCTTTATCGTTAAAACATCTTCGTAATAATCATGACACCTTACAATGTTATTCTTGTCTTTCTTGGCATTTAATATGTTCCTCAGCGTTGACACCAACATATCTTATCGAAAATATCTATGTCGTATTGTTTTTTTATATATAGTTTTTATATATTACTATGTCGTATCTAGTTTTTACACCTATATTTTTTAAAGGTCATATATGAACATTTCCGAAAAAAGGTCCTAAAAACTACATTCGTCCAGTCAACTAAATTTCTTTCGCAGCTTAAACCAATGTTAAGCTCTGTTTCTCAGCTCTGAGAAATATCTGTTTCAAAAAAGCACGTTATGGGAGCTATTTCATTGATCAGCGCAGACATTTACCTTTGATGATATCTAAGTAGGCAATCTTATTATTCCTATAACTATTAGCAACTTACCAATGAGCATGTTTCATGGGCATCTGCTATATTTTTAATAGATGATGGAAGCTTCTCGACTGGCCCCTGTGGGTTCCGTTGGTCTGGGCAAAAGCTTTCCACGAATTCCGCTTGGAGGCGTTATCGGCGCTCGAGAGAAACAACGCCATTTAGGCGGTCTACCAGCGTTTCCGGCGCCAGAAAAGGAGCCCGAGGCGGCTACACCTAAGAAACGGCGTTTAGGCGGAGGGGCATCTACCGTCAACCAGATGATCGACGACAACGGTGGGTGTAACAATGGCTTCAGCGGAACGATTTCTTGCGCTCACAACCGGCAGACTATTTTGCAGTGTTTGAAATTTCTTGAAACCTGCGAGTTAAAACCTGTCAGAGTCCAAAGGAGCCTATAAATAACACCAAGTTTTTGGTTGGTTTATCACAGCAAGGGGCTCGTCTGCATCCGGCGGGCCCACAGAGGAGATCACCGATTTAGAAGAACTTGAACAGTTCGCTAAGACATTTAAGCAGAAACGAATCAAGCTCGGATTTACGCAGGGCGATGTAGGTCTGGCTATGGGAAAGCTTTATGGAAACGACTTTTCACAGGTACCTCAAACTTGTTGCGCGTTAATCAATAGTGTTCCTTTCTGTAGGCTTTTATTGAACTACTGCCTCTGATTCGGTGAAGCAGCACTTATATGAGTTTGACATAATGCCAATATAATACAGTACAGGACTTACATGTTCTGTGTCTTTCAGTCGATCTGCCAGATGTGACAGTTGAATACTTAACAATATATTAAGTAACAATGCCGACCTCATTTTATGGGGGCAGAAAGCAAAATTCTTAGGGAAACAACTTAAGGAAAGGTAGCGACCTTGTGACGCTTATATCAAACATGAACTGTTTAACTATTTTCGAGCTAGTTTGCAATACTAGAATTTACATTCATAAATGTAAAAAATCTTTTTATTACAGACGACCATCTCCCGTTTTGAGGCGCTGAATCTGTCGTTCAAGAACATGTGCAAGCTCAAACCGTTGTTGCAGCGCTGGCTGCAGGATGCGCATGCCTCCCTGGGTCAACCTGGAAGCGCTCAGGGGCAAGTGGGCGGCCATGGTACCCACGGGCCACATGGTCCCCATTCGTCCAGCGTCGAAGTACAGGTCCCGACACCAGCCGGGGGGCTTCCACATCCAGCGCACCCTGGACCGCATGGATCATATACCGGCGGCGTGCAACAGCATTCGTCCCCGACTGGGTCACTCGTTGGGGCTTCTGTGACATCTGGACATCGGCCTCCAGCCTTGGCTGGGTCGTCCCCTTCTCCTGTGTCGACGAACCTGACGGCGGCACAAACGCTTGGACCGCCGGTACTTCCGGGTATGTTAATATCAGACTATTAAATACGTGTCAAAAATAGTTTAAATCACCTCTTTAACATTTTCGGATCATCGTAATGACTGACGTAATGAGAGAGTGACTGACGGTTTCATTTACGCTCTGTGATTGTTTTTGGTGGTGATGCCACATTGCAGGTGGAGGCTCACCAGGTTCAGGTAACGCAGCTAGTGGTACCGGGGCATTGTCTGGCTGTTTGCCAGGCGCATTAAGCTCATCATCCATCCTCCAGGCGGACTCGATTTGCCGGCGCCGTAAAAAGCGAACCAGCATCGAGTCCGCGGTGAGGGTGGCGCTCGAGCGAGCCTTTCTTCTCAACTCGAAGCCCACGTCCGAAGAAATTGCTGCGCTGGCCGATCGGCTCGCCATGGAGAAAGAGGTAAAGAGATTCTCTTGCTTGTAGGGATTTTAAGCAAACGGGCATGCAGTTCTGTTAGAAAAAAGACTCCTTTATTTTATTATTATTTACAATACCAAGTATTCGTCGGAACATGACACTCGCTGTCATGTAGCGACTTCCCTGAGTTTCCATTCGTGGTTCTGTGACGTGAGATTCTGATGCTCAAACGTTTTGCTTGAACTATCTCCTTAAAATATCACAGGTGGTTCGTGTGTGGTTCTGCAATCGACGTCAGAAGGAGAAACGCATCAATCCGTCTCTGGCCCTCCAGGGCGGGCCTCCGTCGCCCACCCCGCCGACGGCTGCCCCCAAGGGCGCGCCCAGCACAGGGGCGCCTGCGTACCATCAATCGCAGCAACTACAGCAGGGTATGCTCCTTAGTAAATTCAGATTTTACGATGAGTCACTTTTGCGTCAAGTACATGAACGTTTATGTGTCTGCATGTGCTAATGGCACATGAATTTGTAGCATTGTTCGCTTTCAAAAGTAAAAAGTATTTTGATATAGCTTTTTTTTAAATACCTCAACATTCAAGTAATGGAAACCGTTGTTCATTCAGTTCAATTGAACAGCGAAAGGTCGGCGGATGCTATTAAAACGACTTGTATAGTCATTAGTCCATCTTCTATTTCTCACTTATTCATGCCTCTATGTGTGCATGTATTCGTTTGTGCTTTGGGCAGGCTTGTGCATGTCGGATGCAGGTTCGGCGTTGGAGCGACCGTTGGGGGCCCTCGGATTGGCCTCGGCGGGGGAGAGCGACAGTGAGCACTCCGATAGCAACCATCCGCCGGCAACGATGTCGAGCAACGCCGGAGACTAAACCACTCTCAGTAACTTGCTTAAGTTACCCAGTTCACTGACAGACTTTCCTATTTACTTACGTAGACGAACGGTACAGAAGATGGTCGGGACCAGATCTTAGCGTCAATCAGTCACTCAGCTGTGAAAATCGTTTGTTTCGTGAACAAGAAATGCACGTCTTATACAACACCTGTGCACCGGAGCACTGAATAGAGACATGACAAAACGGCACCTTGTGCGATAGTCACCGTCGCGAAAACACCTCAATTCAGCGCGTAGCTTCGAAATGCTGAAACTTCGAAAACATTTGTCAAAGTGAACTTATACGCTAGAAATATTTTCAGTAGATGTCGCCAGTGATCTCATCAGCCCAAAACCTTTATCAGCTCACGATGGTGGGATACGAACTCCAAGCGACGGTGAAAGCGTGACCAGCTTCGGAGCAGGCACAAAGATTGAGGGGACCTTGTTTTGCAATTTAATATTATTCCTCAGCTTTCATCGTGGGTACTAAACCCACGTGCGAACATGTTTTCGAGTTTCGCTCTAAACAGGCGTAATACTACGGTCGACTAATGGAAATGTAGATGTATTTGCTGGGCCTGGTTTCAACAGGCCAGCACTGTGTCAAGACTTAAAGCGTAACTTATTAAGTTTTGACTTACTAGCTTGACAAATGACCTTCATTTCCAAGCTATGAAGATGGCATATAAAGTGCAGTTTTAGTTATTATCCAATAAGATTGGAACTAGTAAGAGTTTATGAAAACAACTTATGGTCAGCTTCCGCACATTACGCACATTTAAACAAACAGTCTGATTATGCTTATTCTATTTCTTCTGTTCTCTTTTCCTTTCGATTTTCAAGATGAACAAGCTTTTAATGGTTTCGGACCTAATTTAGGAAAGTTTCCTGTTTAGGTACAGGTTTACAATTCGGGATTTCTAAATATATTGATTGTATTGACTTAATGAATTCGAGTCGTGTTTGTCAGGTGCTCGGTAAAAATTAAGTGCCACACATGAGTGAATAGATTATTCCGACCTAATAGACCATATTTAGAGGTCGTAATTGTATTCATTAAAAATCTTTTACTGTGTGTTACAAACATTTGTCACTTACGTTTGACTTCGATGTTTTCACAATTGTTTTTGCTAAATTCATGTTACTCAATCAAGTGTTTATGGGTTGTATCTGGGTGCGATAATGAAGCGACCAAGTGATGAGTGTGACACCTCGGAGCGACAGACATATGCGAAAGACGCCAGAACGCGCGCGAATTTTGTCTTTGGCTTTCTTCAATTCAACGATCCCGTCTGTGTAGCCTCAACATTGCGCCTTCAATGCAACAAAATTCGGCCCATATTCAGAGGCTCATAGTGATCAGCGACCAGCTGGATGTTTCGCGTATGACCCTTCCGGTCGTACGTACCCATAGGGAACAACGACAAAAAGATAGAGTGTGCCAGTGATTTTATGAATTAAGCCAGGCAAGATCAACTTCGCGATAGGCGTATTGCAAAACGATTGCTGAAGATGTGTGAATAGTGTTTTGGGATAGATGTTCGTAATACACTTTTAAGTTTTGCCCAGATGTTACCAAATACGTATTGTGCTAGCATCGAAAATGTATATCCTTCATACGTCTAACGATGTGAGGTACACGCATCGTGGTTAATTGAAGCATACGCGATCGGTGAAGCGCTACGGCATGGAAACGCCTAGGTGTGACAGCGCCTATTTCCAATCATTCGATATAGGTTTGATGGGCCATGGCGGCGGGTTGAAATAGGTGTAGTCCAAAAGCACGATAGATATATATATATATATATATACACATTGCAAAGGAATCTTCAACGCAGTCGTGTAAAACAGTCCTTTTGTCCTGTAATGTCAGGCTGATATCTATGCGGGTATTTTACTATTGCTACTAGAATGATAAAAAGGGCATATTTAGCCGAAGAAATACAGAAATAGAGATACAACGCTTTGAGTGATTAGGGATATTGTCCGTGACAAAGTGGAAGGTGGAAAACTAATGTACACCATCTGATTAGATATGACGGACGCCGTTAGAGATAGTGATCATGATGCAATTTATGATAACAAGATCGGAATTTAACAACGTGTTTCGGAGCGCACTAGCGACATTGCCATCGATCACCATACGCAAATTAACCCACACCTGTATATATACATATATGAGAGAAATATGTGTATATAAATGAAATACCTATCTATGGGCATATAATAATTGCATTAAGTTATTTGTGCATAGCTGTATGTGTACATGTGTGCAGCAAAGGGATACTGTATAAATATTATTTATATGCATATGTATTTGCTATAGTTCCTGGTGGTGACCCATCCCAGTACGGTAAACTGTACCGCGTCCAACGCCATTATCTACGGCTTTGCTAAACAGCAAATATTGAGCTTACGATGGCGCAGAAACTATGGCAGCAATCCGGTCACAATAACCATGGCAACAGCAATTGTTTCTATTGCTCCCATCACCGGAGGGATTTTAGACTAGATATTGTGGGAGCTAGAGAAAATTAGGTGTCGGTGATACTCTAGAAAAAGGACGTAACACAGCATCCCCTATGTACCAGTTTTCCTTAAATATCCTCGTTGAATACCATCGCTCGATATACTGAAATCAAAATGAACTTCGATTTAGTTTAGCTGTATCCTAAGCGTGTGCAAAAAATTCTAGCCGAGCCGTGCGAAAACCTCAATGGAGGCCTCAACTACCTCATCTAGGTATGGTGATCTGAAACAGCGATTGACGATACACTATACAAGCATAAAATATATACATGTACGAATACACACTGCAAAATATATCAGTATGTGGGAGCATAGACCTGAGAGTACCCCCATAACAATGAAACCGGTGTTAGTTATATATATATATATATATATATATATAAAGAAAGAAAGAAAGAAAGAAAGAGAGCGAGCGAGAGAGAGAGAGAGAGAGAGAGAGAGAGAGAGAGAGAGAGAGAGAGAGAGAGAGAGAGAGAGAGAGTATAATGTATTTACTACCGCGTCGATAATTAAATAAAATGAACAATTCGAGTGACAAGTGGTAAAATGTTAGGATTTTTTAGACTCTTTCCTGAAAAGATCAAATATGATGAATATTTAGGGTATGTATGTGCAATCCTTTGTCTTAAGGAGGAACTATCCTTTACAACGATAGATGCAGCTTAACGCTTGTTCGTGCTTACAAAAACAAGCAGTCATCTGATAGAGGTTCTCTTGTGTTCGAAAATTCGTTGAAAAAAGGATCTTTTATTTTATTTTAGAAATAGATAAGGATACACCTTTTTGACATACCGTTACGAATGCATTTGTAATGTCTTAGAAGTTTAATAAGAATCACATTTAAAAACACCATTCCGTTAATAGCTTGAGTTTATTTTTGTGTTCGCTGAATAAATGTACTGCTATTTTTTTAATTATCGATCGGGTTTAAGTTTCAAAGAAGCATGCTTCTTAAATATTCTTTTATTAAATGCATGTCCGATACAGAATCCAATATAGACTCTTCAAATAGACCAGAAACGTGTTAGAGTAAAAGCCTAGAACTAACAAAAGGATAATTGATTTTTATATAGTTTTTCGTGGAGAAGAAATATTATTTCGTGTTTATTTCGCTTCTTTGGAGCACGATCTAACCTGGCTGAATTCGTTTTTAACTGGAAAAAAAAGTATATATTTTACGGGGTCTATGTGCAAGAACACAGTTGTTACAGCCGAGATTATCTTAGCCATTAATTAAAAGGTTCGTTGTTTAAACGAACGCATAGCACTAGGGAACAGAAAAGATACCATTTGCGTGGTCGCCGTTTGTTTGTGTAGGCATACATAAAGGTCACAGCCAATATCGGTGGCCCATTGTCTAGGGAGAGCTGATTTTATGCTATCGATTGATAACGAGTGGCAGGAAGATGGTATCACTTTATCAGGAATCTCTATAAAAAAGATTGCGTGTCATTTGTATAACTTTCTGTAGGTACGTGTGAAATTATTTCGGCCGAAAGCTAAGTTATGTTATTTCAATTATGCGAATTGACATAGAGGTCACAGTTTGCCATTTACAGCCCTAGGACACGTCCTAGAAACGAGATAATGCGAACAACAACTGTAGTTGGCGCCGCTGATACTGCACTTTTGGTATATAGCGAGATGTTCCTTATATCCTTTGCGAGAAAGAGGTGGGCAGTGTTCTGATGGGCTTGCTTGAGCTAGAGTTAAGGACTCAGGAGTGAGCGGAGAACGTGGAAAGGTAAGTAAGAGGCATCCTATGTCTAGGCTGTATTCGGTTGATTCCCTACGAGTGAACAGCTCAGGATAGTCGCTTCGGAAGGGTCCGGGGGGCTAACTCAGGTAGTCAGGAGTACACGCGTTTGGTGTGTCACCTCTTATGGACACGTGAGGCAAGCTATTCTTCGTTCTCCGCACGCATCTCGGCTTACCAATGACCCCCTTTGTCATGAAGTTACCACTACACTGCGTGGTAGGATCTGACAGCAATGCTTAATTGAGAGATCAATCTAAGAGAATTTCCTTGAATCTGTACCGTTATCAGCTATGTATATCAACGCGTTTCAGTTCTCATTTATGACTGACACAAGTTGTATGGCGTTAGAATTTGTCTAGGCGTATATTATCTATGACATGTGTGAATCCGAGAATGCTGCCAGTGACTCTAAAGCCTGTCATATATGTGAGCCTTACCATCAGAACTGGTTTTCTGGGGCTTTTCTGCAGTGGTGATCACTTCTTCGTATCCACCGTGAGCCACTGAAGGGTCCTTTATAGGATTAAATCGATACTTGGTGATGTATAATGAAAACAAAATTACCACATCTTGTGGCTTATCTGTGGCCTTTGCCTTATAGTGGTTTGTCGCCTGCATGCCACACCCCATGTCGCATCTAGCGGATATCGGATCTCGACCCGGGCAATGGGTCCTGAGTTTTGGCGAGAATTAAGCGCCTGAACAATCTATGTAATGGCGGTAACGGTGATGATTCTAGTGCAGAACTTTCTTTTGCATCGCTTTACACATCTAGTACGTCTAGATGAAAGCGTCACATGAAATTATGGATGAAAATGTATCGTGTCCGTTGCTTTCGTCGCACAGGCAAAGTGATTATATATACAGGGTAAGTCAGATATATCTGAAAAATTGTAAGTTGTTCATAAAAAACATTTATTTCATTCAAAGGTGGTTGCTGTGAGTTCTTTTATGTATTATGTGTATTTCCGATGAATTACTCTATTCAAAAGTAATAATTATTCGTTTTAATAATTTCCGTCACCTGTTTTTACCATAGTTTCCTACTCAAGGCCTACGAGCGCATCTTGAGCAGCGGCAGGGATTGATCTGGTACAATCATACCTAAACTTCATACCTAAAGTTCTCGCGCTATTTAGCCTCACACAAAAATACAAAAGGTTAAGATCTGTGCTGTTCGATAATCAAAAGTCGTTGCTTCAAGTCAACACTGAGCTCAGTTACCGTCACGAACTGGTAGACACCGGCAGAAACTTTTGTTTTAATCACAGTCGGAACATATTCGAGATCTCAGACGAGTGAGTTATTGTTTCTCAGATCAGAAATTGGCTCGTCGGCGAAGAACCGGTGATGGCCGGCAGCTCCTTGCTTGAGAAAGCTGTCAAAAGGCAGACGACAACAACGCGCAAGTCTCTTCGCTTTACACTTATTCAGAATATGGCCGACCTGACCCAGCTTTGGAGATCGTGTATAAGCGCTAAACAAATAGCAGCTGGGAAGCGCGCGTTTTTTTACTCGTTGTCTTAATTGGCTTACACGATATAAGTGAAGTAAATTAGATACAGACATCGACCTTCAATCGGATATAAATGGAATTGAGTTTGTATTCTTAACATAATTGTATGTGCACTAGGTGTCATCATATAGAAACTGCCGACTCAGCTTGAAATGAAATTTCAATATACGTATATATATATATATATATACATATATGTAGAATACACTCATCAATGGTTTTTACACAGCCATACGGAATTATAAAATAAACTTATTTATCTTGTGTATACAGAATTATGTAGCCTTACAGATTATATATATATATATATATAGTTTATTGTTTGTGTATACTGTTCTTTGAGTGGGGGGTAGGTGTAAGACACTTTGAAGGCATTTTCTTCCAATAAAAATGCGGTGCCTCTTAGCAGATTCGAATAAGACACTAGGCTTGCTCATTATTAGGTTTGGGCCTAACCAATAACTACGAGATAATCATATTTATGTTATAGCTTTTTTTTATTGCATTTCGCCGTTCGTGCGTTTTGTATTGGCTATCACCTTACGCCGGTCGATCTTTGACAGCTTAGTAGGTCGAAATGCTACGTCCTTAGTTCACCTCAAAAAACAAAAAATCAGTTATTGATTTACTAAAACCGCTAACATTAATAGAAATTTGGCATTGCGTGGACGTGATCAAGCCGAGTGACTAATCTCAACTCCAGCCTGGGTGAGTACTAGAAGTCGTTGCCGTATATAAATTTAAACTATTCCTCATATCTTACTTGACAAGAACACAAATTATTGATGGTCCCCACCAATGAGGACCTGTATTTTTACATATCGTTACGCACTATACAGTTACAATCGGAATTTTTTTAGGTCGGATCAGATAGTCTATATATTATTTGTATAATATATGATAGTATAGGTACGGTACAAGGTTCACTAGTGTCTTTCCTCTCAAATTAATGGAACAATAAGAAAACTCGGTAGTTGCTGTAGCGAAAATTCTTTCGAGTTAAGTTGAATTAAGGTACAGAGTGCGCCTGATAGGCAGATTCAATGAAGCCTGATAGATTGGCCGTCGCTGACTTTAACGCTTGTTAATTCGCTGAGTGGCCGTGGTTCTATTGGCTGTCCAGTCAAAAAAAAAACAACCCGTCCATGAATATTTTAGAAGGTATTGTTTAGCAATAACGTTCGAACTGTAAAACGAGGGCAGTAAATAGAAATGGGTCAAGCATCAGAGCACAGACGTAGCATTGAATTGCTGAGATGGCAGAAACACGCCGAGTCTAATTATGCCCGCTGCTGGGTTTATTATCAAAGCCATACTGCACTGATTTAGGCTGAAACAATCTATCCAGTGGTTGTTTATATGAAAAAAAAAAACAACTCTTTTGCGATTACAAGTAAATTTTCTACAGCAAACTTGAGATGAATTCGAATTTTTCTACTAATAAAATAGCGAAAATTGTAGGAATAGGAAAAATAGTGATCTAGTGTAAAATATTAAGATTTATTTCGAACTTATCGTATTTGGCTCTGTAACTGCTGCCATAATAACTATTGGTCTCTGGTACTAACCCGATGTATCATTCATCATCGGGTACTTGTAACTAGGACATAGAGGCTTAACAACTGAATCATCTTATAATCCTGTTTTTCTAGCTGACACAAAAAATCGTCATTTGAAGGTAAATGCACGAGTGTCGATAGGTGGGAATTGAGAATTTGACGAGGTATTTTTTTTGTTTAGTTAAGTAGGTTTTTGCCAATGAACCTTAGTTTCAGGGTGTCAGGGTGTGCTGTGGATGTGGATAATATTTCAGCAGATTTTCGTTGATTCGAGATGGCCCTGCTTTTAGCCCGTATCATATTCATAGATACAGAGTCACTGACGTATCTTGCTATGTCAATTAAGTAACGAGTATTTTTTTTCGACGAGTCCAAGTAACCATGTTACAAAACCTTATTCAAAAACGAGCACAGATATAGATAAACTACGACCCGCTAGCTCTGTAGTGATGGGAATACGCAAACAACAGTTTGAGCAGTCCGAATAGTTCTCGCTTAGAGCCCCAGCGACGGCAGTCGGAGCGAAGCGTAACCGTGAAAGTTAACGTAATACATTCTTACCTTAAGTTCATTACGAGGAACCTGTTTACTCACCAATGGTTAATGTTTAGCGTACGTTTTTTGACGTAGTTTTATGCGATACGTGATTGCCGATACGATTTGCGACAGCTACGAAGTAATCGTTGCTTTACTTTCCTCTGCTCATAAAGCTCGTCTCTTGAAGAAGCAAAACCGCCATTGCGTTAAGGGAAACGAATAGCAATGGAGTGATAACTGACTGAGCTACCTTGGTTTTTGGTGACAATCTGTGATCCCTGACGCTTGGACGGCGGACAAGCCTATCAAACGATTTATCTTGTCCGCGGTCGAATTAGACGAGTGAGAAGCGCCAGGCGCCAGGAAGGTCCACAGGAGTGTAAATGACCGTTCATCCTTCGTTTCCACGTCGTAACCATACCACGTCCTCTCGTTCAGTGGCTAATTGTACGGTGCTGAGAAGGTCGTCATGGGGTGCCGCAGCAGCTGGAGTTGCAGCAGCGCCATCCTCAACGTCAGCGAGCGCTGGTGGTATTCTTCTCCCACTTTCCGATAGGGATTATTAACGAGACGTCAATACACTCTATCATCTGCGTCGCTATAAATCGTACTGCCTAACGTGTTGTGGTTCAGCGAGGACCTGTGTGCGTGCTGATGTCTCTAGAAACTTGTTATTAAATAAAACTATTACGAACCCTGGAAATCAGTTCCAGTAGTGGACTTCGATCCGTCCAGTTCCGAAGAGCTTTGGTGGGCACGCCAAATAACAATGCCATTGGCCGGGGCGCCAACTAGGCTGACAGGCGCCTTTCTAGTGCTTTTGCAGCTAGCGACCGTGCGTAGTGAAGATGCGAAGTGCTCCATACAGACCTGTCCCCAAGTGGACCCTCAGTATTACACCGTTCACATTGTGCCTCATTCGCACATGGATCTCGGATGGCTGAAGACTGGTTGGCCTATATTTTCTGAAGAAAATCGTTTGAAAAATATCACTTAAATCATTTATGTGTAGCATACGTGCAGAATTCTTATTTAGTTCACGTATGACATTGTGCCGTTCCTCAGGTCTGGAGGGTATTTATCATATGTTCACGCAGCCACGCTAGTTAGGCTACACGCTTGTACATGATCAATTTACGCGTCGTTTGATAGCAATGTGCAAATTTAAAAAAGTCACGAGAGGTGCTTTAAAGACTGAATACTAATATAGCTAATAGTGTATATAGTGTATATAGTATGTAATATAGCTAGTGTTATATGAAATCGGACATAGTGCCAGTATTAGTACGGCTAGTGGTTTTTTTGTTCTCAGTACGTTCACTCAATGCAATACAAAGTTTTAGTTAATAGTTACACTGGAGTAAAACATTGACGTTTGAAGTAATTAATAATTTTTTTCTATTGGCCTTATCGGCCAGTCAAAAACTGCAGTCCGTATAGGTAAGTTTAGTAAGTTCTATATTTACAAAGGCATTCCGAAGCCACTTCAGGTACGTGTCGCACAGATATTGGAAAAATAATTTAGCTCGCAGTGTAAAACTCGCAGGGGTAAAAACCCAGTAGTGATCTACGACGATGTTCGAACACGATAATACAACAGTGTCCCAACTGCGGACTACAATTGAAACTGGTACAAGATCTTCCGTGTAGAGCTTTCTTCGAAGAGCGAAAAATGGTCCGTTCATCGTCGTATAGCGCTAGTACCCGTTTATTTTCTACATATTATTTTAGGATGAACAAATCTAAAATTTCTCCGGTTCATACTGAATAAAAACACATACAAAAGATTTGATAAACGTATGTTAAAGATATCCTGCGGCGGAAAACTCCCATAGATAGCGAAGGCAAATAGCACTCTAATCCAAGGAAGCGGCCTGCGACAGTACGCATTATCTCGTGAACTGAACATTTTAGAAGCCCGTTTGATCGATCGCGTGCGATTAGGCAGCTTAAAAGCAGGAAAGATGAAAACAAACAAAAAAAAAAAAAAGGGATGGCTTGGCGCAGCGTGGAGTAATGAAAATCACTGAATAATCACAATGTTAGGTATATTGCGTAGCGGTTTATTAATAACGGCCATACCGTGAATTTTTAATATTCTCTGAGGAAGGCGTGAGGCTGGTTTAGTGGCCAAAGCAAACGGACAACATCGTAAATCTAATTGCATTAAACAAGTCGACCTAAATAGGGCGAGTGATTTAATATAGAAGCATAGTAATGCCATACGCCAACCATGTGGGATCTGCGAACAACCTAAATATATTTTTTCCTTTAAAAATGAGTGCCAAGAACTGTTTTCATAGGGATAACTCTAAGGAAAGGGCGATCAAAGAAAGAATTGTGAGATTTTCTTGCTCTTCTACAGGTCAAGTGCTTAGTTTGAATTGTTGAATATTGCTAATCTACAACAGGTCTCACATTTTTCCTTTTCAGTTGAACAATACTTTTTTGGTACCAAGGCTGGTATCACATCGGTAAGCGTCCAATACATCTATGATAGTGTACTAGCGGAACTGCTGAGCGACCCAAACAAAAAATTCATGTTTGTTGAAACGGGATTTTTCGAACTCTGGTGGACACATAGGTAAGGCCACTAGAGAGAAATGTCGCTGGCAATATAAAAACGGTGCCGAGTTTGTTAACGTAAAGAATAAATACAGTAGCAAAATAGATATTTGGTGATAACGCAGAAAGGTTACGATCACAAGTCTACTGTAAAAAATTGAAAACATCTTGATTCAGGGGAATTTACACATATATATAGAAACATGTGACAGGGTTAGAGTTGCTTAGCGGTCGTGGCGACCTCCACGAGAATCCATCTTAGTCTGATGGTATCAGGATACTCTAAACGATTCTAAGTGTAATAGCCGTATTTCGTATACAGAAGTGTGTGTATATGTACACACAAATGCCAGGACTGTGTCGATACCAAGTTCTACACCAAGGTTTGTGTACCGATTCGATAAAAACAAAAAAAAAAAAAAAAAAAAAAAAGTCTGCCACCGAGCACAAACACTAATTGTAATGGCTACATTACATCCATGACCTGTTCAATAGTTGCTAAAACAACAAATAAAAAAAAATTGTCAATATCATCCAGTTTCTGACACTGTGACAAAATCAAGTATTTTAATGCTAGTTCTCAGTTGCCCGGATCTGAATACTTTTGATAATAACTAGTACACAAATCTAGTTAGTCACCCATTCGTATATGTTAAATCTTTATTCCAGTTGACTGGAATCGATTGGTTGTCGAAAATACATAATACGTAGGTGCCTTGTGTATGTTAAACAAATAAAGCGCATAATTTGCTTTTTTTTTTTTTTTTTTTTGCATAATTTACAGAGACAATTCAGCGCGGGAAAATTTCAAACGTCTAGTGCTCAATGGGCAGATCGAGTTCGTCAGTGGAGGTTACGTAATGAATGATGAAGCAACCGTTCATTACATGACTACCATCAATCAAATGACCTATGGACTCGGCATACTGAAAGGTATTATACGTTATTTATTACTATTATTTGTAACTGTCTGTATATGTCCTTTTTTTGTAGGGATAACGTGATCTGATGAGCTCAAAGAAGGATGTTACCCTCTGATATTGCAGAGATCTTTGGCGAATGTGGTACAACTCGCGTTGGTTGGCAGATCGATCCTTTCGGTCACTCACGAGAATTCGCGTCACTACTGGCTCAAATGGGCTTTCAGGGTTGGTTAATTGCATCTTTTTTTTTTTTTTTTTCCGATTTTTTGGCGGGCTAACCGCGGCGCATGCGTATTTCGTTCATTTGTCGATATTTGGCCCTCATCCGACAAGTGACTAAACGTTCCTTTTCTGGTAGAAACAAGAATAAGTAAAGAAAAAAAAATTACATACTTTTAATCAGGAATCTGAATTTCTGAGTAACGTAAGGGACTAGAGGAGAAAAAAAAAGCTTGACGGGAGAGTTTGCGTACGCGTCGTTGCGACTAGGTAACTCAATGAATGGAACCAAATGCTGTCAGCTATTGTGCTTATCTATTTGCATTTAATTTTCAATCAGGTCTATACTTGGGCCGAATTGATTATCAAGATAAGAGTCACCGAGAGGCAACACGCACCATGGAGTTTAATTGGGAAGCTAGTGAGTCTTTGCCCCGCGCTCGTCTAACTGGCATTGTCCTAGCTAATAATTATTCGCCCCCGCCTGGTTTCTGCTTTGACGAGTTCTGTAACGATGACCCCATTGTAGAGGACCCCGAAGCAGAGGAATACAACGGGCCGAAGCGAGCCGAAGACTTCATGGTAAATCGTAACAGGAACTACTTTTCGAGATTTTACTGCGTTTAAAATATGTTTTTTTATTATATACACATTATCCATGTGCAAATTATAGTTTATGGCTCGTGCCTAGCCAAAATGCTGATTGTCTCCTAATTGTAATAATAATAAAAAAAAAAAAGGAGTCGGTAAATAATTTCGTACACAACGAAAGGGCTTTGTACAGTTATACCTAATAAGATAAACTATGTTTTTATTGCTTTTGTGCTAATAATTTGCTTCAGTATGGTAAAACCTATCGACAAATGGGGCAGGTTTGTTTTGAAGCTTGTTGAACGCTCTCGAACAAGTCGAAAATCTAGGATTAATTAAATCTCACGCCCTTCATTGCTAACGACGTGCTAATAGCTCACCTTTATAAAATGTTTTAGGGAAACTGTTTGTGAAAAATCGAAGCTTGAAATAAGCTTCACTTAGATATGAGGCTCCTTTTCATCTTGGCTGAACGAGCGAGTCAGTTACTTACGTCAAAAACTAAACTGTATATGATTTTGTTTCTGGATGAAAAAAGTTTAAATGCCTTTGAACAATTTCATTATGTCAAATCTAGTTACAGCTTTCAATATTGTCAAACGAGATTAAGGGCCACCGGTTCGAAAGCGTTGATATCTAACGAAGGGTACGCCAGTCACTTTAGTTGTCGGTACTAACCAATCAAAATAGTAAAAAAAAACAAAAAAAAGAAAAGTTATTATTATCATTGCTCTTATTTGGTTTGTAGAAATGGCTGACGGATAAGGCAAACTTCTACGCTACGAACAACTTCCTTGTGACCATGGGTAACGATTTCAATTACCAAAACGCCCACAAATGGATGACAAACTTGGACGCCTTGATGCGTTCTATTAACGGAAAAGGTATCAAAGTTATAAAAGGTTATTTGTAAATGCTACATAACCAAAATATCAGAAGATAGAGCTTGGCTTCAACGACAGCGTAACGTTCCGCACTTTTAGGCTACCAAATCAAGGGTCTTCCTGTGCGTCTCGTGTATTCTACCCCAAGTTGCTACCTCGCTGTCATACAGGATCAGAAAATGGTGAACAAAACAGACGACTTCTTCCCATACGCAAGCGATCCTCACGCTTATTGGACAGGGTACTTCACTAGCCGTCCTGCCTTCAAGTACCTCGATCGCTTTTCTAACAACTGGTTCCAGGCCACCACACAACTCGCTGCAATGGCTAGTACGTTTTGCATTGATGAATATCGCTACTTAACGCTGTGATAGGGGGTGGATAATCTGAAAAATCATACGGATAGACGAAGGAAAAGCATGGCAAATATAGTACTGTCGTTCTTTTCCTTCTGTGGCTACTTTTTGACTTTTGGATTTTGCTTAACTATTGACTTGAATGGCTTTTTCAATAGTCTAAATTAGGAGACCTAGACTTGGTGAGTCGTACTGCAGCGAGCTGGATTTCACATGCAGATGGGTTCTCGTAGGTCCTGTGAGATAAGAGCTAGAATTGCAATCGATTCCACTGTGACAAATTAGTGTTAATGTAGAACGAAGCCTAAATATATAACAAACGCTTCGCTGATTGTCGACCAGGATTGGGTCCAGGACATTTGGGCCAGCTGCGGCGCGCTCTTGCAATAGCGCAGCACCATGACGCTGTAACAGGTACTGCCAAACAGCACGTTAATGATGATTACACGAAAATGGTGTCAGTCGGATTAACTCAGGCCGAGAAGGTGGCTGAGAAGGCTTTAGCTGCCTTGAGTGGAAAGACCTTTCCAGGTGCAAAAAGCATAACATTCTGCCGCGGACTCAACATCTCGGAGTGCGACGTAATCGACGGATTAACCAACGGAGATGGTAAGCAATTCTGACTAATAATATATAGCTTTAATTAAGAATACTTGATAAAGATCACACTTCCACGTTGTTTTTCTTCGCTTAGACGTTCATTGATTTTACATGTACTGCTCGCCTGAGCAGGCTTCTATACAACATATATATAAATCTAAATGAATATTGCAAATCCCTAATAGAATTATTGCCCACTTGATCAGGAGTCAGCGTTACAGTGTATAACCCAGCATCTCAAAAGGTGCAAACTTATATTCGAATACCCGTGTCAGCCGTCAATCATTTCACCGTTACCACTCCAAATGGAACGAATATCCCGTTCGACTGTCTACCGATCTCCGATGGCTTAAAGAAACTGGCAGAGAGGTGTGTCTCCGCGATAGCTCAACATACATACATACATACATATATATATATATATATACAGAGCGAGAGAGAGAGAGAGAGAGGGAGAGAAAGAGTTAAAATAATAATATTATTCTAGGAAAGGCAAGGCAACTCATGAACTGGTGTTCCCTGTCGAGGTTGATGCACTATCGTTTACGGTAGGTTGTCACCTAGAACGCTGATAGTAGCGAACTAAAATTTTATTTAAAAACGTTTTCATACTTACAGTGGCGCAGGAATTAAACACCCTGTTCTTACATACACGTAAGCCTTCCTATCAAAATCTAACCTGTGGTATTGAGTGTGAAGCGGTTAGGTAGGGCCTATAGCAACTCATCTTTTCTAGCAATGAAACAATTTGTCTGCAAGAACCGCATTAACTCTTTTGTTTGATAGCATTTACGCTTTATGAGCTTTTTTTTTACATTTTTCTATGCTAACGTTAACGAATAGGCGACGTTCTCCTTAATATGCCGCTGCACTATTTATAGCTGAATTTACGAACGTTGCTGAGAGGCACAAGATTTACATAAAGAACCGCTGCATTTTGACTGAAAACTATATGGTGAAAACTTTAAGCAGTTAACTCTGCCAAACCCTGAGAACTAGAGGCCCAAAGACTGTAAACGCAAAATGTTGCTTATTATTAAAGCATAAGTAGACAGAGGTATTAGTGCATTCAAGTGCTGTTTCAGGCCTAGCAGGACCAAAAAGGACACTTGGCTCGTGAAGCATTACTCAGGTATTGATGTGCCGAACGGACATTAAGAAAGCGTGCGGCATAAGCCTTAAACATTAAGCAAGATCAAAACCATTAATGTCAAGATTCGCAAACAGAGGTAATATCAGCGCAAATAACTAGTTTCCTAATTACCCTAAGTAAGCGTAAGTTCTAGGTGTGCACGGTTGAATCAGAAACGAATACTGAAACAATCATTTGAAATTCGTCATCACCATTAAATACCTCAGTTTTTCTTACAATGCTCTAACCTCCCCGAAGCCTGCAGCAAAGCGGGATGGTGGATTCGAAGGTCTGAGAACTGCTTGGGGTGAGACCTAGAGCACGAAAAACGATGTTACGCACAGAGTATTCAGGCCCCGAAAAGCACAGATGAGGCCTTCGGCTAACCGGCGGGTCGGCTCGTACACAAACGAGCGAGGGGCCCAAGCGAAAGTTGTTCAAAAGTATGGTCGGAGAGGCAAAATAGTTGTGTGGGAGTGCGTTGTATGGAGTGCGAGAGGCGCGGCTGGGTGAGTTAAGCGGGTCAAAAAGATCGGGTTAAAGAAGGGTTACGGAGGTGTAGGCGCTGCTAAGGTCACGGACTCAGGGTCATGCTGTAGAGAGAACAGAACAATGTGGTCCTAGGGAGGCCTTTGAAGTCATCGGCAGCGACTAGCGCTGCCGATTGGAACGAGCGAGAAGCGAAGTGCCTCCCAGTGAAAAACATAGCGAAAAGGACTTCAACCTCCATTGTTATAGGGCTATAGCAGCAGAAGGGAGCCCGTTCGTCAATCTTATATAACAGAGCGTCGTTATAGGCGCACGTGAAAGACGCCTAAATATATACCATTGTCATAATTTTTTTGAGTTATCATGTGACATATAAAACAATTATACGTTTCTTTCGTAAATTTAATGTAGAGCGGGCAAGATTAACGAAGTTATCGATTTTAGTGAATACCTAGTGTTCTGTGTTGTCCAAAGGAATTGAAGTACCGTTTTACATTTCTGTATTTTATCGAGATCTACAATATTAAAATTAGTTATCCAACTCGCTTCCTACATAACAGAATGTGGATATCCGTCACCGACCGGCTGATAAACGAATTCCGTGGTCATACCCAGAGCTTGAAGTTACGGAGCCCCGTACGATATCTCGGGATGGTTTGCAAGTGGACGTCGACCCGACACGTGGTATTGTGAGATTGAGTCTCAACGGTATCGAAATCAATGCTACGGCTGGCTACTATTTTTACGCAAGTCGCACCGGAAACAATACAAAGTTCAACTTCCGCGCAAGCGGAGCTTATATTTTTAGGTGATCTTATTTATCCAACCAGGACTTCGTTTTTTTGTCCTATGTGAATCACGAAGGCTACATTCAGATATTAAAAAATACGTCTACGTATCTACATAGCCTGCATCAATTTAGCCTATAATGAATAACCCAAAATTCAGCGTAACATTGTTGTTGTGTAATGCTTAGGAATGACGGCCCTGCTAAGCAGCTTCCGCTGAAATCCATAAAAATTATCGAGGGCCGTACAATCACTGAGGTACGTGCACAGTACGGAGATTGGGTGTACGAGAGTTATAGAATTGGTCTTAACTGCTTCGAAGTTGATTGGATTGCTGGTCCCATTCCGATAAAGGACCAAATTGGAAAGGAACTCGTTTACAGGTAGATTTTGCAATTATATTATTCGTAATCAGTCGATTTAACTTTATAAATTAAGTTGACTTCCAGACGGATTTTTTTAGCAAACATTGACAGGTAAAATCACTGTATCTTTATTTACAAATATTGAATGTTTACGATTCGCGATAAATAAGTGTGGGATAGAGGCTTACAAGAAAAACAGACATGGAAGGGGTAATTCATTTAGGGAGATTTATTCAGGGAGTGTTTACAAGGGGGGTGTGAATTCAGTGGTAGAGGTTTATTCTGAGCTTCTGTGAAGCAAATAACAGACAACTACGATTCTTAGTGCTCGGAAATACAAAATGTTGTTGAGGGAGTCAGTGAATAAGCTTACACTTATAGGTAGTGGGGAGTCTGTGCTTTGACGGAGCAATTTCTAACGGAGACCCATAGAGCACCCAGCTGCGAGAGCTGAAGGACGAATTGGGTTTCGTGAATTGATTAACAAGATCAGAAGCAAAGATGAAAATGTTAGCTCCAAATTCTGAGTTTGGCGAGCACGTACTACAGTTGTCAATGGCCTGTTGTTCGCCGTCATCAGTTTGTAACAGAAGATACACGAAGCTCATTAATACCAAGAAGACTCCGTGGAACATCAAGACTCCCGTCAACACAGGAGCTTTCAGCTTAAATGTAGACTAACAAAAAAGTTGGAACGTGTTAGTTCTCATTTCACACGTACATATAAAAGCATTTATCTATTTATATCCTAGCTGGCACCGACTCATTTAAAATAAGTCACCTAAGACATATCGTGGTCAAGAAATACGTCTAAAACATTAACATTAGTATGAAGTATGAACAAAACAAAGACCTAAAAGAGTGACTTTTGATGAATGAATATAATGCCTTTTTTAACTGCATTGATAGAGCTAACGTATGCGCGTTCAACTGGCGTTAAGTTCTATACGAACAGCAAAGCGTATAAGAAGTACACCCTTCAGTTTTATCTCTCGCTTTTCGTTCTATTTTTTTCCCCACCTACTTGTAAGAGACAAACAGAATACACAGGGAAACTTTTCATATTACGTCTCTTAGACTAATGAAAACCTAAAGGCAACCTGCAAACATTATTCCCGTACCGAGAGATCGTGAAAACAAGCGGAACTGGGTCTCGATTGGAATAGAGGAATGAATCGGTTAAAAATCAATGTCAATAAAGAGATAATCAGATTTTATTAATAACAAATAATTTTTTTTTGGAGGGAAGCAGGTATTGCTTAGCAGTGAGGTACTATATGTTTCAGTAGCTTTACGTCTGCTGGCATCCCACCAGACGGTTGACCCAGGCATAGTAAAAAAATAAATCAAGTTATTGATTAAGTTAAGCTAGGAAGTCATATGGTAGTGCATAACGATTTGGGCTTAATTTCGCATCGCGGCACCCATCATAAGCTGTATCACAACATTTGCGTATATTTGACTCAATAAGAAGTATCATCCAGGTATCTAGAGCTGCTAGTCTTTGCTTCCGCTGGAGCTCGAACTGATGCTTAGAAATATAGTATTGGAATTGACAAGTTTGTGGCTAAATGGACGCAAGAGAGCAATAAAGTTAAGCTTTTGTCGGTAATATCATTTGTTTCCATGTAAATCTACAGCATCGATTCGAACATAGACTCCGGATCAGAGTTCTTCACTGACTCAAACGGCCGTGAAAATCTCCGCCGGCAACGGAATTTCCGTCCGACGTGGCTACTTAACTCTTCTGAGCCTGTTGCCGGAAACTACTACCCCGTCAATACACTGATTGCCATCAAGGACAAAAAGCGGACAATTGGAATTGTCACTGACAGGTACGAATCTCCTTGCGACCTTCCTATTTAACTAGCTGCTAACATCAACATTTATGAGTGAGTGACATCGCGCTACAAATAGACGTATACACCCGTTACTTGCGTCGTTTAATGCAAATGCTTGCAGTACAGCAAGAAATTAGGATAGGACAAAAGGAAGCAGTAAGCTTTCAATATTAGACATTCTAAGTGAAGGAACCGGTAAGTCAAAATATTTGTATCATAGTTACAGATGTTATTAATAGGAGTTTGAGCACTCGGGCGCTTCCAGTTAAAATTCTTTTTGCGTGCGAAATTTGTAAGTTAAATTTTTCCGTTGTATCCGAGTTTTACAACTCTGCATAAGATTATAGCGGTACCGAATGGAGACGCTTCAGCAGAACTTCACTATGTGTGCTAAATATTTTATTATTATGTTATATTTAACATACTTAATGCTAGTAGCAATTCCACGTCAGGTCGCATGGAGGTTCAAGTCTCAAATCAGGACAAGTTGAAATTATGCTTCATCGTCGTTGTCTTCATGACGATGCTTTTGGTGAGTAGATAAAAATCTTGATGACCGTACAATGCAAAACTGTTGCATAACATAAAAAAACACGAATTTTCCCGTACATCGCCTTTTAGTGTTGTTTTATAAGAAAAATATCTTTTGCTGAGATAGCATAGTTGAAGCTTAATAGTATAAAAAATAGGAAAGTTTAGTCCAATATGGTGTCTTTTTTAAACGTCACTAATATTCATCCGTTCCCCATTTTACTATATATCATAGAATGCAGGAAGAGCTATGCGTCTGCTGTGAAACATGCAATTGCAAATTAGTCGTTTCAACGATCGCAGGTGTGAATGAAGCGCTAAATGAGACAGGCTATGATGGAAATGGTCTGCAGGTTCGTGGTACATTTAGAATCTATCTATTTAACGCTTCAAGGGAGAGCCTTGGTCGCAAATTCAGGCCGTTGGCCCTGCAAATGACCCTTCGGCCGATCGTCGCGTTTAGCCCTGCACCACTTCACCCCAAGCAAATCCTCATTGATCCATCGGCTCTTTCCAGCAACGTGCAACTCCTTACCCTTGAGCAGACGTCATCCAAGGTAACATTTTCCGCGATTCAAAAATCAAGGATACCGTTGCGTTAAAATCAACAAAAGAAGTGCAATAACTTAAACGATCTTGTAATATTGTTTAGAGAAATGTAATGTTAAATATTTAATGATTGTTTGCAAAGTGTTTTGCTTAGTGAATGATTACAAAATTGTGAGATTTCTATCGATTTCCTATAAAAAAAAAACAATCTCATTGCCGTAAAAGCGATACAAATCACGGTTACGCATCAATTGTACAAAATCTGTTTTTGTGTTCCAAACAGGAATATCTTGTTCGACTGGAAAACATTTTTGAACGCAAAGACAACCCCAAGGTAAAATATGTACATTTTCCAACATCCTAGTTTAAGGCACCGGATAGGTTCTGCGTATTTTCTATAAAAGTCATTTAGAATTGGTAACGCTCGTAATCTGGTGTTTATTTAGATTTCGTAAAAGTAGAATGAGATTCGTTGAAGGCATTAATTTTCGGAATTTTTCGCTCTATGAAAGATCGTGAAAACTGTAGAAATCAACGGGCCGTTTTGTGAACGTTCGTTTTTTCTAGACGGCTACGGTGGACCTTCAGCGACTTTTCCGAGGTCAGGTGTCCTCGGTTCGTGAAACCCTGCTGGCAGCTAATATCGACAGGCCGAAGAGACATAGGGTTCTTTTGAACTCGGGAATAAAGCTTTTACCAATGCAGATTCGTACATTTTTCGTCACGCTCAACTAACAAGGCCATGATGGTAAGATGCGCAACATTGATTATACGAAATCACTATATAAGGATGACAAATTCAATATCGTTAAATGATCCTGTTATATAAATGTATTTGCAGTATTATCCTAAACTCGCACCTTAGACAGCTATTGCTTCCTGATTCTCAAATTGGTGAATCAAAATCGTGTCTCGACTTGTGTTAGCGACTGAATTCGTAGCAGAAGTACGAGACTTCGAGGAGCCCGAAGAGGGTCAACTGTTAGGGCCGGATAAACTTCGGCTGCTTGCTCTTCACAGCGTTCATTCTTCTCTTCCAATATTATCACTGTTGACCATCCTTTTTGGTTTTCGTGATCCCCATGGAGACGAATCGTCCATCTTCTAGGTCAGCTAATATATAGAACATTCCGTGTGCGACTACAGCCACGGCGAGCAACAAATAATAATATTAGTTTTTATGGGTAAACATACTACTTATTCCATCGACTGCGAATGTAAAAACGATGTAAGATTCGACAAAACGAAGATATACTCGGAAGTCGCACGAAATTAACACACGACGGATTGCAGGAGTGAATAATTATATGAAAGTGCGAGTATCCTTCCCCTCTATCTGTTTAATAACAATAATATTTACTCCTACTTTACAAGACTGGTAATTTCGTTTTCTATATTCTGCTTAAATTATTTGCCTCCACTGCAAATGGCTGGGTATTCCAGCTATATATGTTGTGTAATAATAATGGCCTGTACCAACACTGGTAAAAAATATTATAGCTACGGGCAGCGTCCTATTACAGCAATCTGTGTCCTTAACCATTTAGTGTAAAGCCCGATGATCGTAAATCTCATTACCATTTTTTTTGAATCTTGACAAATTCTACGATATGAAATTGTTTAGAAGAACTCTTCTGGAATACACTGAAGACAGCTATAATCCGAAGATTTTTCAGTGCTATCTAAAGTCTTTCCGCTACGCTTTGACTTCAAAGCACTCGAGCATCTGTTGTTTTTTCGACGGGCCTTTTTGCTCAATACATCTTGAATTCTAACAAAGAGAAAGGCATAAAAATTAAAAAGTAAAATGCTTAGCCTTTATTCGTCCCAAGGATAGATCACTAACTTCATTTTACGTAGCAACATTTAATAACGAAAAAGTTCCTTCAACTTGATTGCGTTACGTTTGCAATAGATTGATCACACCTCATTACTGGGAAATCGCCAAATGCGAGCCTTCGTCTAGATCTTGTAGAGTGGATTTGACTTATCAGAAACAGTGACCTACGAGCAGTTCCTACATGAGCATGGAAACCTAATAGCGCCGGTCTCCTTTCTTATTGGTGACATGACAAGTGATTCCCGGAGGAGATCGAATAAGACGAATCAGCAACGGGTGATTCGTATACTGTACGTGGATATTATTGTTGTTTGCGTGATAGACCTAGAAAGCAGAAGACGCCTGTCGAAGCACGTAACACATCTTTGAGCTTGATTGGATTCTATAACTTACAATCTTATATATGTAAATATCTCTTATAATTACAATATTTCGATATGATTGTATACTTAATTCGTACGTATTAGTGACGAGAATGTAAGTAAATGATGATGAGTGATACTGTAGTTTATTTAGTGCGCTTGTAAGATATGACTCCTTATACGAAGCAGGATAGGTAGGAAGCTGGACATTCTTTGTATTGTTCAGTTTGGCTACAAAAAAAGAAAACGGTTTTAATGATTTTAAACTTCCATTTTCACTTTCCCTGTGAATTTCTCTACTTCGAATATGGAAGCGTTTCATCACTCTTTTGATTATTATATATATATATATATAATTAATGATTATGAGAATTATTATCCTCCGGGGAAAAACTGCACACATGTAGATTTCTGCAAAATTGGGGACTTAATATTTCCTTAGGGGTACTTGGAGGTGACGAAATTATTAATAATAGTAACAATAATACATTTTGCCGTCTGCAAAAATCCCTCAAAAGCATTTCAGTAAAAAAAATATTTTTCTGGCAAAAGGAGGTCAATATATTTACGATTACGACCTTGGCCGACCCAAGTAGAAGATAGTAACATAGGTAGTGCTATTACTTAAGCACCATTTTTGTCATTATCGTTTTACGGATACGGAGCCATTTTAAAGCTCCATTAACATCTTCCTTTCATAATGAACAATGATATCTTGAAACAATTTCTGCTTCATACATTTTCTGAAGAGAGAAAAAAAAAAATAGCAAACTTGTTGGATAGATTGTTATAATAAATTTGGCCTAGATAGTCGCAACACGATATAGTGCACCAATTGATCGGTGACCTTAGAAAAGTCCATTCCCATCGTTTTAACTACGTAAATATCATAATGTACCACAAGCAAAAAAATAAGTACACATTTTCTCCCTACAACCTCAGTTTCTCCTCAAAGAAGCGGTAGAAAAATCATTTTTATTGTTTCACATACAGGGGCAGCCTGTGAGATATTTTCGAGAGGCAGGATAAGCTAAACGTAAATACAGGAAAAAACAATAGATCTAGTGGCATGTGCTTTTGAGGTAGGACTTTGCACACGTAAAGTGAACACTTATAGTAGCGAACGTTGACCGATTGACGCCGTAAAAAACGGGCAAGCGAGAGTCGGTTATTATATAGTTTAGTTTATAATGAAATCGCGGATTTGGGCTGAAAGTGTTGGTGTTTCCTTTAAACAAAAACAAAGCCTGATTAAAACAAAGCTCTGAATGGCGGTCATTTGAAACAAGCAAAGCGTAGAGCATACGATGATAGCCAAGAATAGTATTAATAACATTAGGAATTATACAGATCACTTGACAGGAAGATTGCACAGCTAGGACGAACTGCCTCAACTACAAATATTCATTCTGCTATTACCTACATGATCTGTTTAATTTAGGTGGATCGTATCACTGCGATGGCTTATCTGAAGTAAAATTTCGTACATTCATGAGACACTTTTGCGTATGTTATCGACTGGCCAACAGACAGCTGTAGACGACACTGCGACATTGTGTTCATCACTCTTCAGCAAAGTCATGTACAAGACGACGTTTCTACACCTAGTTCTACGACTTTACATACCAAGAAACTAGCCCACTTTGTTATATTGATTAATAAAGGTCTGCGCCTATTCTTCATTCTAGTTCGAGTCATTAGACGAATGGCCCCCTGTATTATATCCGGGTCTGGGTTACGCAGAACGAGGCTTCCGATTACCCACCGCTGACTGCGTTAACCTTTCTGTTTATATCGGAATCTCCGCGGAAATCTTGGGTAGCGTTCGAGCAGTTCAAAAGTTCATCCCCAACGAACCGAATTGTGTAGACAAAATCAGAAGAATATTATTTCGTATAGAGTACTATGAATCTTGGGATAGACATCGATACGATCTCTGGTATCGTTATAACAGGCGAACGAAGGGCTACTTTTTTTCTGCTTTACTTCTGTCACGCCAGGTCAAAAAATTGGTTTAAATTATTTAGTTTACTCTAAGTGTATGGCATGCGTGATTCTTCTGAAATGAAGGCCCCGCAACATGGTCAGTGTAACCAGCTTGTCCACGACAGCATAGCTCAAGAATCGTTCGACGGATATTTCAACAAGCCGCTGTTCGAAAAGGCCGACTACGTCTCAAGAGCAACTTTGTGCTTTTTTTTCTCTACAGTTTACTGCTATGGGGCCGTAGAAAAGGAGTGTCCTAGGCCAGCAGTGCCTTAAACAGAAAATGGAGGGACAAATATGTCTTGCAGCTGTATTTTCTTGGACGGCCACGTCTTTTCTGGGGAGGGGGTTCATAGCAAACAGCTGTAGAACGGCTTCTTATCCAGCCGAGACCTGCCTACGCCAGCTGTCACCATATCATGCGCGGCGAAAAAGGGCTAGCCATAGCGAGATGCTGCAATGACTTGGGCTTACCTAGGAAGTAGCGTTCAGTTCTGAGACCCGTTGGGTCGACTTCGGTCGACTACACCGTTCTTTCGTTGTCCTGTGTTGTCGTAGGCTGAGCTCCGGGCTGCTGGTCTTCTTTTTCCAGTTTCTCGCAACAGCGGTCACTTTCATCCCGCTGCCATCTCGCCGTGTACCGCTTTTCGCGCTCATACTATCCTCTAACCGCATTTTGATCGTTCGAACATTTTGTCATCGCAGCAGTAGCGGCATTGTTTCAGTTCACGTTTAGAACCAAAATAACAACAGCTTGCTTCTGCAAAGGTTCGCCTTAAGGACAAACGAAGCCTTCGGTCAGACTTTTCCTTCATTATATTCTAGTGTTACTATGAAGCGCAGTGGCGATAGCAACAGCGACAGCAACAACTGCCGCTGGCACCGTCACAGTACACTGCGAGTATGACAGGCGACGATTGCCATTTTCGTGCCAGCCATAACGGATACCTCAACTCTGGAAACGGCGGCGGATTCTCAAGGTGAGCGATTCGAACCAATGGCGGCTGTAGGCGACGGTACGGCACAATACCGGGTGACAGGAGAATGTCCTTTTAAACAACGAAAACGATAACCGTTTTCCTATGGTCCGAGGGTTTTTTCTCCTGTTGTTACTGTTAGGTTAGCGGAATCGCATAGATCAAGGAAGCGGTTCTTGTGAAACGGATTATTTAAGGTGAGGTGATGTTTCATAAAGGGCTTAGCGGCTTTAGGAAAACTCGTTTGGTCGGTGAGAAAAACCAGAATTAGTTATCCGTGGATGCCTAAGTCTGATCATGCCAAGTAGGAAAGACTTGATAGACACGACAATGGGAAAGAACGTCTTAATTATTCTGGAGTTTAGTAGGTGACTTATAATCATAATCCGATAACAATATACGTTTTTAAAGCTATTTGAGTTCATATAGTATTTGTTGTACATCTGTCCAGTGATTTTTGAAAATCATACTTAAATATATAATTATACTTATATAGCATATAAAATTATACTTGATTTCTTTTCAATTGAGCAAGGGAATCTAACTAGAAGAAGTCGGTATATGTCCATTTTGAAATAGTTCAACAGCGGATTTTACATGCCCCACAAGGAGTCAAACTGAAGTACCTCAAGCAGATTGTTGCTTGTCTGTTAGTATGCCGTCTTCATTTCTCAGCCGGGCTGGCATCGTTAACTGCCGACTTCGCGTTTTCCGAGTGTCCGATTAGGCGTCTGTTCTGATCAGAGAAAAGCCACTGTGAAATTGCCGAAAAAAGACGGCACACTTTTACGATTTGTCGCGCGTCAAACGCAGTGATCGTTGGAAAATGTTAGACAGCCGTGCCTTTGCACCCTTCTAATATGGCAATAGAAAATTTTTGTTTTTGGGGGGGGGGGGACACTTCAGTCGGCCTAAGTTAATAGCATAGAGTACACTAAAACTATGCCATTGCTACTAGACAATAAATACTTTTTTAATGATCATGGACTGCTTGTATTCTCCAACTATCAACGGAATGCTATTAGTAATGCTAATCCTCTATTAGATTTTTACAGCACATTTTAATAAAAACTGTAACGCGGAACCGTAATTCAGTATATCAAATATATTTATGGAAAAGTTTACTGGCTTCTAGAAGGCATAGGCAAACACCTTCAAAGTACGTCCCGATTTATATTTTTTGGACCATATTTACGTTTTTTTGTAGTAAATAGGGAAAAAAAAAACTCACCGTACGGCTTAATTTTTTCGAGGGTTTCATCTATATAAACATCACTATCCGCTACTTTTACTAGAGACGCAAACCATCTAATAACTTTTACACCAACGGATGCACAGTGTGCAAGCTATTTCTAACTGTGATTTCTACTCAGAATAGCCGTAATTGCCGTAGCTACTAAGCTAAATCCGTAATATCGTAAATAAGATATCTTCCATTGAGGGAGCTCATAGCGCTTGTTCCGATCAACCGAAAGGCCGTTGAGCTCGGTTAACGCTTCGCGGTAACGACACAACAAGGGACATGGTATTCGATCTATGCATACGATGATAGATTCTCTATACATAGGCGTCAGAAGTTGAAGTACAAGGAGGTTTAGGAGCGAGCAAAACAGGGTTAGCTGCTAGTGTCCGCTAGAAGTACATGCGCAAATGGTAAAGCTCATACATCGCTGGCGGTTAACAATAGACTAATCGTTGAAACAAACAGGGCCTGCTTCCAACTGACGACCCAACAGTGACCGCCGCCGCGGCTGCTGCTTCCCACGAATCTCATTCATATCTTGAAACCAACAGTTTCTTAGAGGACAATTAGCGTTCTATGGCGGTTCTATTCGAACGCTGAGCATCCGTTTTTCCATCCAGCCAGGGTATTCATTGTAGTGCTACGCCAACCTATACGACACGGCAAGTCTACGCGTTCGGTAGTCATTGTTTGTTCTCAGCTGCAATAACATGACGGCAATAGCATCGAATTTAAATAGCTAGTAGAAATGTCCTATTGGCAAATGTATCATATAATTGTGTCTATTCTCACAAATTGCTATACGATATAAGTGGAAAAAACAAGAGCAACGACCCACTCGGCTACGATAGACGGCACTGGCAAGGTAGAGTTGTCTGCGTGTCTTAAGGTGACCACAGGATATTTTCAAAATATATTATAACATAGTAAGAAATTGCATTCGTGAATAGATATCAGAAATAGCCTATATTTAAGGAATACTATAAAATATCCGCCATACATACATACATACATACGCCAACAGGCAGGCCCCCGCCAGTGTGGATTGATTAGTCAACTGTGTGAAAAAAAAAAAACATCGTGCAAACGTGTTTTTCGTTCACAAAATTCAAGGCAGTATAATATATAATCACGTTATACGCTCTTATACTCTAATAAGATATGAAAGCAACAGGAACTCATAGTGTTATTCAGTGTAAACATATAGAGCGCATCCTGTGGCCAAGGGCAGACCGGCTGTATAAACTCACGACACCCATCAATACGCTGAAGCTTTATATTCGATTTTCAAAAAACCAAAGTCAATTTTGCTCTCAAAATGCTGCATGGCCTTGACGGTAGAGAGCTTCATTGTATATCTCTACAGAAAAGGAGCTTTCGATGCTGGTAGATAAACGTGAAGTTTGTTTGTTTGTTTGTTTGCAAAATTTCTACGGTAGGCGACTTGCTTTCGGCTTAGTGTTTGTTATGTGTGCAACAGATTTCCACCTAAACGTTTCTACATTGTTAAACAGTGGTTGACCTTTAATATTTTGCTATGTTTGATAGGTAACGCTCGACTAGAGTAAAAATACATAGAAAATAGGTGTACAAGAAATAAAGTGGAAAATAAATAATCGAAAGTCTAATTTTGTACAATAATAACAAACACTCTCTATTAATTTGAGCTTCCTTTAGCCATACACACACCTCGAATCAGTGCTCATCCATGCACACGCGGAGCGATCTGTTCACTCGGCTCGATTGCACAGGTTATATATGTTTCCCATACGCTATATCGGGGAGGATTATAACAGACGAATGACTACCAGTTGAAAATCTCGATTGACCTAAAGCGAGAGCAGAGGCCATCTTACGCGGAGCACGTACGCTGCCCGTTAACTCTAAGCCAGCGTCTACTTCATAAAGCCAGCATTAGTCTAACTGATCTTGCTTACAGCTACAATGTTCTGCCGAATACAGGCGGAAATTCATAGTTCTCGGAGCTTTTTAGCGGCTATCAGCACTTATACGCCAGCTGACTCTTAGAATAAAACAGAATACGTTTGCAATGAGTATTTATAATCTAGGGGAAAGCTGGTTAAAGCCGACATTTGAAAAAGTAAGCATGTTCACCCCACTGTCTGCGGGTATCGTGGACCCTCGGAGCCTCTCTGACAAGCCGCATGCACATACATCCGTTTTGTTTTGCATTTGTTGATTTTTCTCATTAAAGTTTGCACTAAAGCATTTGGAAGCCGTCCTCTTGGTAACTTGGCCATCCCAACCTTTGTGTTGAGAAAGCCAGGGCTCATTATTTCACGGCCCACCAATGCCATATAACGTACGTTAAGTGCTAGCGGATAAAAAGGCAAGCCAATATTGAAAGGTGTAAGGCCTTTCGTCTAGGTGTTGCAATGATTTTTCTTTCTGAACTAGAAACCTTTTGTTGGTAGCTCCCTTGTTTATAAGTTCCCAGAGTTACAAGAAGCACAAATAGAAAACATCAAATATCGGTGCTTGTTCATTGCTCCTCTTGTAGCCTTTGAGCTTTTTGCAGACGAAGTAAGGATCCGAAAGTAAAAAAGATGAATAGGTCAGTTCAGATCTTCTATTCGTAGAATGGTGCGTGAAACACACAACGCCATCGGCTGCGTTGGATGCTGAACTGAATTTATTTACCAGCAGCATCTGGCCATCGCTGTTTCCTAAAATGCGGATGATCCTAATTCTAGGACAGCCGAATATATATATATAGAGTTTTTAGCAGTATTTGACGTATTCTCAATTCGGCGATAGTACGCACTTGAGGCAATGTGCCTCTGCCTGAGGCATTCTGAGGCACCTTTGCCAAAGTGGAAACTTACTACGGTTATTATAGTTTTTTTACATATTATCCTTGTTCGCTAGCATCCAATGCAGATTATTGATTTCTATGGGGTTTAAAGAAGCGTGTGAACAAAACGGTTCTGAAGAAACGGGTCGTCTACCTATTTTATGTTTGCCTTCCTTTGTCTAACGAAGATACTGTTATAATGGAGTAAACAAGCCCAATATAATATGGCAGTAGAGTTATCGTCTAAATAGTACATTTTACAAGTACGAACAGCGATAACAATTCCAGTCAAATTCGATAGCATACAAGACGAAAAGTGAGCTGTCCCTTGAGAGAATTTATTAGGAACATCTTCCTTCAGTCGGAGGAGTAGATTAGCCTTAGAGGTTGTCAATACAGCTTACTCAGAGAATCTTCGCTCGCTAGTCTTCATACTGTATAATTAGTCAAATCTACTAGATTGCTGGAACTGTTTGAAAAAAATCTGTATCTAAGCTGAATCTTAGAAGAGGCATCTCTGCTGCTGCTGCTGCTGCTGCAGTTGCTTTCAATAACCTCATTTCAGAATTTACTTGGAGATTTGGGAAGATTCAATACAAAAATGTGTTGAATCATGCCTGTGAGAAGTTTGTACGTACTCTGTCGTGGTGTTGCATTTATTCATCGAGTACAAGAACCGGGTAAAAAGTGGTAATCAGTTAAGACAGCCCAACTAAATACGGTGTATTCTCTGTAACGCTCGATCCTACAACGCATGGAACGTCGTTTGTGATCTGTAGAGTTAGCTTATATTTTTAACTCAAGCAATATGGATACTGCAGCCGCACAAGCTTTTCCTGATGTTTAGAAGCCGAAACTCAAGAGGGCATGTATATAAAATAGTTACTGCAATACTGCGTCCGCACATTTTGAATCGAACGCGGAAATAGGATCAATTCGCTGAACGGCCATCTCACCCGGCCTGATCCATTCCTAACCGTTTCTTTCCTAGTAAGATTGAACAAAAATTCAGGATCGTGTAGTAAGCTATATCACAAGTAGATGCGATTCTAACTTGTTTTATCTGAAATTATAACTGTATCCTTGGTTGTGTGATGTACAAAACTTCTTCTTACACATTTTTTCAGACAGGAAAGATATACGAGGAAGTTTTGCATAAACTCACAGTTTATTAGCGGTCTTTAACTGCGACGCTGAGGACCCCTAGTTCGATTCTAATGGTAGGGCCCATACAAAATAACGCGGTGCTCCGTGCTAGCTTTTCGTTTTAAATACGCCCAACGCGTGTCTTATATGTATATAAGCGTCGTTATAATATATGCTTGAAAATATAGTCGACGGTTTACGATTTGTTTTTCTTGTAAGTGTAGCGGTCCCACCAACAATATAATACAGCGCTAAAATTTTAGACGTGGAACACCCTTCAGCTTTCCCCTTCGGGGTTATTTAGAAATACATACATTCGTTAAGCAGTTCCCTATATCACACTCCTGCATGTGGGCATCATAATGCATCCTTAAACTCCGTCAACAGGATCGGTATAAAGAAATCTCAGCAGCTTGGGTGATCTGTCTATTATTTCTAAGGTATACGAGTGCATCTAATACGTTTATATTATTACACGTTATTAACTAATAGGAAATCTCTAAGGCCTTTGCACATGACTTGCCCAACGGGCAGAAAGAGGGGCACATGCTAAATACTGGCTGGCTGGCTGGCTGGCTAACTCCCTTCTTCGCTCGCATAGTAAAATGCAAGATTGTTTAAAGGTTATTAAATCGTTAGTAAACTGTAACGACCCGTAGGTACAAACAGACGAGTGTCTTATCAACTGCACTTCGTAATCTAAGTCGTCCGGTAACCGCTATGATGATACAGAACAATGCAGCTCACATAAAGCGATAGTATACTACGTGGTAAAAAAAAAACCTGTAAAATATTACAGATGCTGGCCACGACCATGTCCACGTGACAGCTTCCTCCGTTTGCCGATACGGACTGCCATTTGAAGGAGTTGCCAGTCTTCCCTTGATCAGATGGTTGACGTTCATGCGATACGGGTTGGGTGTTTGGTTAGCGTCTTTATCTGGCCGCACAGAACGGCCAAGAGGGCACTGGAAAGGGCACACGGGGGTGTGGGTCTGTGAAAGAGGGGAACAGGGAAGGGATGGCAAAGAGGGAGAAACAGGAACAGAGTATAGGTCTGTGTGTGGCTGAGGAGGGTCTTTGGGGGGGGGGGGGGGGGAGGCCGGAGACGTTGAGCTGCAGAGTTTTGCAGAGAGAAACCCGGCTGCCGCTGGATGGGATACTCCGAAGAAGGATCGGTCGGTGGGTGGGTGGGTGCATAGCCGAATGGCCTGTTGAAGAAGAGGCTATAGACCGGAGGAAACGACCGAACGGCCGTCTGTGGAGTGGAGCTTAGGGGTTAGTTTCAGGGGCAAAAACGGGGTTGAAGCTTTCGGGATCTAAAGGCTGTGTGTGCGGGGGTTGCGGAAAGGGATTTTTCCCCTCCTCCTCCTCCTCCACCACCACTGTCTTCTTCTCCTCTTCCTCCTCTAACAAGGGCCACCAAGTGCCACCCGGAGGGGTCCAGCAGCAAGGAACGCCGAGGTGCCTTTCCTGCCACTACTGCTAGTTAGTTGGCTGTGTGTCTGTCCTCTCGCGTCAGCGGCAGCGGCACGCGCGCGAGAGGCTGAAGAGGCCGTCAGAGTGGAGCGGACAGAGGCAGCAAGACAGACCGCTCGTACCAGTGGGCCGCACAAGCAGTCAAGCGAATAGTGGTAGTTGTAGCAGCCTTGAGGGCGAAGTAAGCGCGAACCCGCTACCTAACCGAACCGGCTGAGTACGACGAAGATGAAGCCAGTGGTTGTGTCGTAGCTGCTACGACTGTTACGAGTATGTAGTGGTGATAATATTAATAGTAAAAATCATGATCGTCAAGGCAATGTTGTTAAGGCTAGTGGTGCTGGTGATCTAATAAGTGGAGTGCGCAGTCAACCGAAGAGATAGTTGGACCGATAAGTTTCGCGCTCTTGACCACTTATCTTTGGGCAAACTAGATCTATCCTTCGCTCGCAACCGCTCATAATCTAGTTTCGGATTTTTTTCAGTCAAAAAATCGTTTGTGTTTCCCCGTGGCCTTCCGCGGTACATTTCACTGATCGTACAACAATCGCCGGTCCTACAGCTTGTGCCATTTCTGCTTCTAAACTGTGGCCATAATTTGTTAGTGTGTGTATTTCTGTTCCCCCTTCTAGAATGAGCGAATAATCTCTGATACTCGGTCGACGAACGTCAACTGAGAACAACGGCAGGTATACGCTCACAACGATCGAATGGCGCAGGATGGTGCTCACAAAACGGCCAAGAGACGTCGGGTTGAATACGTAGAGGGTACGTTTTGCCCATCCGTCCCCCCATTGCATTTTGAAAGGAAACGAAGCAGCTGCCATAAGCAATACAGTAAAAATACACCCCATCGTCTAGTTAATAACAAAGAAAACTGTTTTGTAAAAAAGTCTTAAACAGGCTGCGAGGGGTGCAACAGAAGGTCAAAGAACACTTACTTAATTGCGTCTAAATATGATTTGAAGATCTGTGCACCAGTTTTTGCTTGTGATTTATTTGATCTGTTATTCTGTATCCTAACGGGGTGATAGAACAGGACAGAGAACTGACTAGTGGGTTAAAAGATTGAGAGAATACTGATCGGGTTCACAGGCCTGTCCGCTTGGTCATAGAATACGCTTGGGAACTGCTGTTTAAATGTTGTTACGGCCAATTCGATTGTGTGTGTATGTATGTCGGTGTACGAACGTTTGCATTTACCCAGCGAACCAGCTTTGGCACCGAATCGCACTCACTGACTGACGACTACTCTTTAATATCTCTATACAAGTAAAATTAGCACAATCACGTGCATCTGTGAATGAGTACCACTGAATTTTTTGACTCTGCTGTTGGAGGGAAAGCCATCAAGTTAACGCAAGGAAGGAGATATAGGGTGGCATGAAATAACTAGAGACGTCCGAACGGCTGCTAACCTCACATAAATAAAGGACTGACCATCGGTCTAAACGCAGTTGCTGCCGCCAGCGCCATTGTTTCTATCGATGTTGCCCTGTGATCGATTACGCGGGTAATATATTTTTCGACAATAACCCGGCTATAGGGAACGAGTTAGAATGACGATTGTCGAACGGCCAGTGAAATTTGGAAACCAGACATTACAGTTACCGTTACCACAGTCACGACTGTTACTGCCACGGTTTCTATGAAGATTTTCTGCCACGCGAGTTTCATGGCCAAGCTAGAGACAACAGGTCGAATCGAAACATCAGTAAACGTCGGAATGTATTAGCATAGAAACGGAAGGGGGTTGCAGTTAGTGGTGTGTTGACGCGCCGCGTAGGGCTGGGCAGGGGGTGTGCTCCGCCCCACGCCGCCATCAATTATTGCTAATAAAATCTGCTATTACTGCTACTATTCCCAACGACAACCGTGAAGAACCGAATTCAACGCCGGCGACACCAGCCATACTACTTTTCTGTAAAAGAACGCCTAGTCGTATTTTCAGAGTTAACGTCTCAAGCGACGAGTCCAGCAAGTTCCAGACAGGTACACGTACAAGTGAACAATCTGAACCGGAACGTAACTTACGCAAACGCAATAGAACAACAGTCGCAGCGTAACTACGACAGGATCATCTCGTTATAATTTGTACATACATTCGGAACGTGTTTGGCATTAGCGAATTGGGATAGCAATACGAACAACATGACGAATGCACTAAGTTACGCATAACAGCCCCAGGGCATAATTAAGCCCTTCATGCAATAATAAATGACGATAAACAAGCGGCGTGCGAATGGTCGTCTATTCGTCATGTGAAAATAAATGGATGTTGTTTTTTGTGAGCCTTAAGTGTCCGACGTAAGTTCTCACCGTTTGTTCGTTCGGTTATCACTGCATCATCAATCAACCACCATACGTCAATCAACGTATTCTGGAAATATTCATTGCTGTTTCTCATTTTTATCATTTGTGCACACTGTGGAGTTAAAGCGCACGTGCGGAACAAAAGCACAAACACACGTGCAATACATACAAACACATACACATGCAACGAAGTACTATGTCATATTACGAAGTAGTGATAGTAACTGTACTAAAAAAATCGGAAAACTTCGTCGCTTTTTAGCAGCAGGGTGACACGAAGAAGTCATCTCACAACAACAACAACAACTACTACGTCAAATTTAGAAAAAGGCGCTCAACAAACGAGGCCCGACGCTTCAACGAGCCGCTAGTTTCCTTATGCGAATGCACATCGCTATCCTACGATCACAAGGTGAGAATAAGGACCGTGCACAGACGGGCAGAAGTAATTTTAAGGCGATATAATAAAGAATAAGGCTACAGTAAATGAAACTAATTGTCGAGCTAGACCGGAAATAAGGAAGGCTAGATGTTTTCTCTACCTTTTTTTGGGGGACCATCCTTTGGGCATAGAATTCCGACCTTCACTTCTCATCATATGTTTCATTTTATCGTTAGAGAAGTACTAGCGGTAACGGTTACTTTGCAATTATATTTTATCAGCTAAACGCGTCTGTGTGGGTTATATGGGCAAACACTGCGCTTATCCCATTGATGATCTGACACTGGTAAGCATGCTGGTCAGACCACATGAATCATAGGAGATGGATGAATGCCGGTTTAGGTAAGCAGCGATCTTAACCGCTGTTAGTCGCAGATTTTCGTTGCAGCGCACGAGGGAGAGTAAACCCATCTCTTATGTTCAAACTGAGGAACGGGATATGCTGAAAATATGACCTTTCAAGGCGAAAGCCAAGGAATGCAAACTCGATTTGCAGACTTGGTCGGTTAGTGAGGCCAGTCCTGTTAGCGAGGCTTAGAGGTGTGCAAAGGAAGAACGCTAGCAGGCCGTTCTGAATGAGAAAGGCCAACTCACTGCGCTGCTTTGCTAACAGCTAACCTAGCAGTTAGATGGTCGAAGTAGTGGGGGCAGTCAGCGGGGAGCTGGCTGCAGGAGAACCCCCCAAAAGAAGCGGTCGACGGGAAAAACGAGCTATGTAGCTTCGCTGTTCCCCCTTTTCGAGAAACGGCAGGGCCGACGATAGATCCTTTTACTTTGTTTGCCCGATTAGCAGTCGGTTATCATGGCGGCGGGAACGATAAACCGCTGGCGTTTCTGGTGTCGGCGTGGACAATATGGTACTCAAAAACTTACCCAACACTCGCCCAACAGCTATTTTTGCTCCCGTTTAAAGCTTGCGGATCTGTGCAGTTCCTGTCATTTGAGAACTCAGCAGACGGTCGAGTTGGTGCGGGGAGGAGGGGACATGGTGTCGTTCTCTTCGCTGGCTATTCTAACGCCTCTTGGTCTAGCTGCGTTTCTTCTATGAGAACGTTGTCCTATCTGCCCCCAATGTCGTATCGATGTCCACGTTCCTTACCCTAATGGTTCTAACATTTCTCATTCCGCTGGTTAATTCTGCTACCTGCTAGTGAATGAACTTCGCGAAGACAAGCAGCTCCTTTACACTTTGATGGCTTTCATAAATGGAAATAGTGCAGAGAAGCGCATTGGTGGAAAGTAAGTGTCGCCGTAAACGGGCTAGCTTAGGATAATGCTAGTGAGAACGTCGAATCCATTGAACTACTCTAAGCAGTTCTGGCAGAGAAGGGATACCTGCAGCAGCTGAACGCAGCTTTCAAGAGCGAGGAAGTGGACGTAAGATAATTACGACTGTAACAGAACTGACAAAAAGTAGGCTAACAATAAACAGACTGATAAATAACAAAGGCTTCCCTTCATAACAACTTACGCACTTCTTTGCCTACTCCCTGCAATCTATCCGCGTTTAGCCCACAGCTCTAGTACGATGAGAGCGAAAATTCAGGTCTAAGCAAACTTATTTCAATTACTATGTCATTTTTCGTATAATAGTGCCTATGTCAAATTAATCGAAATACGACTAGCTCGAAAACCGGGTCACCCAACAATGAGGTAGGTAGTTTTTTCTCTAGACCCAATTACACTATTATGGGCTTTAGTGTAGAACTGTCATTTGCTATTGGGAACGTGCACATACAACTTCATATATTTACTGATAGAGTCTAGTAGAGGTACAACAGTCGGGCATAATACCTTGCTTGTGCATTTTCAGTACGTTTTGCCGTTCATGAAGTGATAACTTCTATGAGCGGGAAATCACCACTCGTTTACAATGTTGGTTCTATTAAATTCTAAAATTGCTGAATACTGAACCTAATCTGAGCCCGTATAGGATAACGTATCCAGTAAGTGGATGCCGTGTACAGCCAATTACAATGTACTAATGCAGTCTAATGCAGTACCTGTCAGTAATGCCATGTATAGATGCATCTATTACCATGATAGGACTTCAAATAAGTATATGTAGATCACGCAATTAAGTAGTGGAAAATCGTCGTAATATACAGAACGAAAGACGAAAAAAATAGCGACTTTTCTTAGGTAAAGAAAATTATAATTATTAAAAGCCTAATATTTAACCGTTTTAAGATTGCGCATACCTGTTTTTTATATTTTAAGAGACCCTATTACGCACGTCGATAAATTTCCCTTCTTCATCGACCTCACCTTGGTTTGGCGTTTGAACTTCTGTTCAGCGACCACCGCCCTATACAATCATATTATACAAGCATAAAAACAAGTTTCGATTGGAAGTTAGACAATGTGTGGCAGTACTGCTAGTTGTGTTGACTACCAGGCTAGCCAAATTTTATCATGGATTGAAAAAAAATTTAATGCGGGAGGGGGAGGGGGGGGGGGGTAATCGACAAATTCATTCTCTGTTAAGCTCACTCCTGCAAAGGATAGCCTTTCAGGACAAAAATATTACCTGTGAGAACCGATGCTTTCGTTTGTGAGTGGTGTTACAGCGCCACAGAGGACGTTCGACTAGTTCCGCACAAAAGTTCAGTGCTTTCGTCCGTTGACGAGTTCCGAGCTAGATACCAGTAAGCAGTGCGAGCGAAGATTTTCAAATTGCATGACTCGATCACTTGCACACCCTCAGGTTCAAACCAGGTTAGGTGAAGCGCCCGGCCACCTAACGGTAGTACCGTTGCTGGTGCAGAAGACTGGCTGTGCTTGGGAGCAAGGAAGAATGAACAGAGAAGCGGGAGAGAAAGGAATTTACCGTCTTTCATGCATCAATAGAGACTGATAAACTCGGGTAAATAATTCTACTTAGGCAACTTGATACCTTCGTAGTGGGCTATAGAACGTCGACGATAGAACGCCTGCGAAGCTATGGAGGACTTATCCTTACCCACACCTCGGTAAGGCCACAGAAATATGAGATCGGTAGGGACCGACTGGCACAAGCCATAATCAAATGTAATTGGTCAAATCAAGTGCTTTAAGCGATCAGTCGGACGTTGTGAGTAATAGGTATTACTGATAGCTTCGATTAAATATCGCGCACTATGGATGAAAAAATATTGAAACACTTATATTTTAATACGTTCAGTTAGCAAAAAGCACGTAATGATTTAACAGTAATCTTTGACGGAAGAACCATGATGATAAAGACGATAATGCTTGAAAGTATCTTGATCATCCTTTCCAGAAGACAATTATTGTGGTATCTCGATATCTATCAAGTCCGCTTCCAACAGAACACTCAAAATGGTATAATTCAATTTACATTATGAGAACACGTTTGTCATGTAACGGTAGCTGTGGCAGAAGGCTACGCGTAAGGTTAGCTTAGCGTTCATATATTGCCGAATTGGTCGGATCCTTCTGCGCGAGTAATCCTAAGGAACGTACCTTACCATAAATTGAACGATTTTGGAATAATGGCTTAATTTAAAAAAAATTACGGTGTTTATATAACACTGGCTCAAGTCTCCCAAGCACATATATACACGATATTGTTAATGGCCTAAAACCAGCCAAGTTTCGGGCCATCAGTAGCATATGCGAGCATAGGTATTACTCAGTGTGGAACAATAGTAGATTCGAAAACGTATAATAAATCTGTCACGGTCGTAGCGTATGCCGTTTTCACTGTTTCAACGTTAGCAGGTAAAAAGCTTCAGTTATCTAATTCTTTGCACCGAAACAAAAAAAACCAATAGACCCATCCATTTGACACGTTTGTAAAATGCAGCTCATATTTGATGATATATCATCCTTTTTTAGGGTTTGCTCTGTCCACTACAGCGACCCGACGATCGACAAGTTACCATTGCCTAGCAAACATTCGAAGGGCTTCACTGCGTGTTGTGCGGTTGGAAACCTCAATATGGAAAATTGTTTTTTTGAGCTTAACGTTCGTTACTTGAACTGCTAGGTTTTGCTTCAAATGGCTGTCTTTCAGTAGAAGAACGAATTATGTTTACGCCTAGATTCCATTATCAAAGGTAATATTTCCTAAAGTTTGACCTGGCATATTTGCAAAATTGTACATGACGGTAAGTTTATATAAACTAAGCTATTCGATCCTGTATACAGCATCAGTTACATCCGTATGCGTGGCCTTCGTAAGAACCTCATCATTACATCTTTAAAACGTATGCGGTTTTCCCTCTACAGTATAATCGTACTTCTTTTTTTTGCATTGCCTCAATGTAGTTACATACTAGAATCAAAGTGACCATCCATGAACGCATCGCAGATTCGAGGCTGATCTGATTGGCCTATCCATTTGTTCAGGGTATCTTTCATGACGCATATCCTGCGCGGACTGTAATTGAATCTTTCACTATTATTGAGGTCCTATTTCAAATGGAAGAAGAAGAGATACCTCAATTTCCTTTATGGAGTAGACATATGCGCATACGCACATCTGGTCAGTGATTCGTATGGCTATGTCCGTTCCCGTCGAAAATACCAAGGAGCCGTTGATTCGCATTTGGTTATCTATGATCAGGTCGTTTGCTCTAGCGTCAGAATTACACCAGACACCTATCGCTTGATTAGACCCATCGAATTATTAGTGTTAATGTGTAGAATAGAGTAGGTGTTACTCAATTGATGGTCATTGATTCACAGCAAATAGTGGTAAAATAGATTGTCTTGAAGTGTCGCGGTGGTCGTCACTATCCGACGGGTGGAAACTTCAATATAACTTGAACAAATACCCAGTTCTATGGCTGAGAATATTTAGTTATTTGTGAATATATGACTGTATCTATCTTGCATAGTAGCTTGGCTTAAATGCACGTTGACACAAAGAGTGATGATTAAAGCCAAGTTCTTTATCTGTCCAGTTAGACACCTGACGCGGATGATTAGTTCAACTAGCGGCTTAACTTCGTAACAACTAAAAG